TAGTGTCAGCTAGTGGCATCTAGTGTCAGCTAGTGGCATCTAGTGTCAGCTAGTGGCATCTAGTGTCAGCTAGTGGCATCTAGTGTCAACTAGTGGCATCTAGTGTCAGCTAGTGGCATCTAGTGTCAGCTAGTGGCATCTAGTGTCAACTAGTGGCATCTAGTGTCAGCTAGTGGCATCTAGTGTCAGCTAGTGGCATCTAGTGTCAGCTAGTGTCAGCTAGTGTCAGCTAGTGGCAGCTAATGTCAGCTAGTGTCAACTAGTGGCATCTAGTGTCAGCTAGTGGCATCTAGTGTCAGCTAGTGTCAGCTAGTGTCAGCTAGTGGCAGCTAATGTCAGCTAGTGTCAACTAGTGTCAACTAGTGGCAGCTAGTGTCAGCTAGTGGCATCTAGTGTCAGCTAGTGGCATCTAGTGTCAGCTAGTGGCATCTAGTGTCAGCTAGTGGCATCTAGTGTCAGCTAGTGGCATCTAGTGTCAGCTAGTGGCATCTAGTGTCAGCTAGTGTCAGATAGTGTCAGCTAGTGGCAGCTAATGTCAGCTAGTGTCAACTAGTGGCATCTAGTGTCAGCTAGTGGCATCTAGTGTCAGCTAGTGGCATCTAGTGTCAGCTAGTGGCATCTAGTGTCAGCTAGTGGCATCTAGTGTCAGCTAGTGGCATCTAGTGTCAGCTAGTGTCAGATAGTGTCAGCTAGTGGCAGCTAATGTCAGCTAGTGTCAACTAGTGGCATCTAGTGTCAGCTAGTGGCATCTAGTGTCAGCTAGTGGCATCTAGTGTCAGCTAGTGGCATCTAGTGTCAGCTAGTGTCAGCTAGTGTCAGCTAGTGGCAGCTAATGTCAGCTAGTGTCAACTAGTGGCATCTAGTGTCAGCTAGTGGCAGCTAATGTCAGCTAATGTCAGCTAGTGTCAGCTAGTGGCAGCTAATGTCAGCTAGTGTCAGCTAGTGTCAGCTAGTGTCAACTAGTGGCATCTAGTGTCAGCTAGTGTCAACTAGTGGCATCTAGTGTCAGCTAGTGTCAGCTAGTGTCAGTTGCAAATGCATTTGATTAATTGTTTATTTTAGCAAAAATTAGAAGCTGTTCTTATCACTTGTCACAAGCAGAGAGGCAGATTATCTGTCTGCTTAACATATGAATAAAAATCTTTGATGAATTAAAGGGAATGAGAGAACTCAAAATCAGAGGCAAATAAATTAACACAAGATGTGAAATTGGTACAATTGTGTTAGCAAAACAAAAAGATGAAATCAAAGAACTAGTGTAAATAATTAATCAGATATGAACATACTCAGGACAAAATCAGTTCTAACTGACAAAACTGATGAAAACCCTACATTTCAAATAAAAGTAGATTTAGGTTTTCACAAAATGAAGTTTTCCCCACATTTTTTTTTTTTACAACATTCAACCTGGTAGACAGGCCCCTAAATATCTAGGGAGCATCTTTCTGTCTATTCTATCTAGAAACACAGGCCCGCGTCTTGTTGCAAGGAAAACAAACTGAGCGCTACAAGACAACTACCGCATATGGGAAAGGGAGGGGGTGGGGGGGGGGGGGAGATTGAATTTTTTTTTTGAAGTTTGAGGCTAGAAACCTTAAAACAGTGATATTTACAAGACAAGAGCATCTGATGTGTATGAGACTATTGTCCATCAAGATAAGCACTGAATTTCTTGGATTTTACTGATTCTTGCTTTGATCTGATATAATAATTAAATCGGCTTAGCAGTGACCTTCTTTTGGTGACAGATGCAGCAGATAATTGGGAAAAACCCACAGGAGTATCACAGAGTACGGAACTCACTTGCTCTGCCAATCTAAATGTTTGCCGAAGGAAGAGGACATATTTTAAAGCCTCGTGGATGTGGAAAGCAAGGTAAGCTACTATGGTATTATCCCAAGCACTTATAATGGAAGCCAAAAATGAATCCCTGGCTAGAAAATAGCATCATTTCTCAGAAAATGAAATATTATGGGATATCAAAAGTCATGTTGATTGAAAAGTAAATTAGCAGAAGGTATGGTGCCAGGAGAGAGTAGCAGGGACCAACCAGCATAAAGATAGGCACAGGATGTAAGTGACATGAGATGGTAGAGCTGGAGAGAGACTGTTTCTCTTCTCGATGAGAGGCTGGTTCTGCAAAGGAGCTGCTACATGTGATAACATGATGTTGATGAGATAACCCACTCACAGATAAAGTCATGTCCTTACAAAACACTTTGGTAATAAATAACAAGTCAGTGGAATACCTTTACAGTTGTACCTGTTTTGTGTTCTTTGGTTCAAAATGGCAGTGACCGCGTGAGAAATGGCAGAAGGTGGAGGAGGGATAATAGGGAATACGAGTGGGTGATCCACTCCAGAAGAAAATATTTAATATAAACATTCCTTTAGTTTACAAAAAACAAAAAAGGGGAGGTGAGGATTGGGATAATTCAGTTGAATATACAGTTATGTCTGTTATTTGGTTTCAAGAACTTCCCGCAATGTCTGACAACCTATTTATGGGATGATCTGGGTAACCTCAAGTTTCTGAATAAATTCAACATCTACTGGTCACAATGACCCTCTAATGCTGTTATGTGGTTGGGTGGCTTGCTGGCTGGTTGATTAGCTACTCTGGGGTTGATTTGCTGACTAGTTGGTTCATTGACTGACAGGTTAGTCTGGGGATGATTTGCTGACTAGATGGTTCATTGACTGACAGGTTAGTCTGGGGATGATTTGCTGACTAGATGGTTCATTGACTGATAGGTTAGTCTGGGAGTGATTTTCGGACTAGATGGTTCATTGACTGACAGGTTAGTCTGGGGGTGATTTGTTGACTAGTTGGTTCATTGACTGATAGGTTAGTCTGGGAGTGATTTTCGGACTAGTTGGTTCATTGACTGATAGGTTAGTCTGGGATTGGTTAGAATGCTGGAGATCTGGGTTCAATGGAAGTTTTTCTGTTGGGACCACAATTAACATCTCAACCTGCACATTTTCTCACAACAGAACTAGCCTTGCAGCCCTCAATTCTTTAGTCTCAAAACACACCACTCCTTCCAACCTCCCCACCCCTCACCCTGTTCCACAACATCCCAAAAAGTGCTACCATAGAAAGTGAAGACAGTTTTGTTTGTCCAGACCCACTGGTTGCCCAGAGGACTGACTAGGCTTGAGGATTGACTAGCTCTGAGGACTGACTAGGCTGGAGGATTGACTAGCTCTGAGGACTGACTAGGCTGGAGGATTGACTAGCTCTGAGGACTGACTAGGCTGGTGGCTTATGGTCTTAGTATTCATGGATTCCCTCTGGAACTGGTGTTACATTACTGTAATAAAATTTATACTGAAGGTAGTTTTCAATATTGTATGCTCTATGTTCTTACATCTATGATCTGTAATAGCAAAAACTATCTCATAAAAGAAACCTTTAATAATATAAATACACAACTGACACAGGCAGATTCATTTTAAACTGGTGAACTTTAACAGAAACAAAGTTTTCGCAACATTTTGAAGAATAACAGCAGCGCAAATTATGATATAGCAAGGTCAACAGACAGAATCTGAATGGCCAATATATTTCTGTGATCCAAAATATTGATGCTGATTACAACGTATATACGTGGAGAACACAACCTCATTTCAAATTATGTGATATTTCATACTCATCCATAATTAGTTTTTGTATGTAACAGAATAAGAACTCACCACAATAAACGATTAATACTGGATAACTTAACATTAAATTATATAAATATGGAGGTATGTAAATTAAAGATAATATAGCCAAGAGTTACATTAGGCCAACATAAGTTTCTTTCCTTTCTTGTTTCTAATTATCTTTCTCTCTCTCTCTCTCTCTCTCTCTCTCTCTCTCTCTCTCTGTCTCTCTCTCTCTCTCTCTCTCTCTCTCTCTCCCCCCTCTCATATGCACGCACAGACACATATGCACATTCATGCCATCCACAGGCACTTCACATAAATAGTAATGGAGGTAACTCATTGCATGTGAACAAAACTGCAATAATTCTTTTTAAAAAAAAAACACACAACTAATACACATATAATATTTTGTGCACAATTGTGGGTCAAATCTGTAACACTTTAAAGTAATTGATATCCCTCCACACACCTGTATATCCTGTATCTGAGATTCTAAAGGAACATTCGATCGCTTCTGGGCCTTTTGGCAAAGATCAAAGTGTAGCTCTGCTGCACTGGTCTGGCCAAAGTGACAGGGATCGGTCACAAAACCAAGTCACAGGGACCGGGATCGGTCACAAAACCAAGTCACAGGGACCGGGATCGGTCACAAAACCAAGTCACAGGGACCGGGATCGGTCACAAAACCAAGTCACAGGGACCGGGATCGGTCACAAAACCAAGTCACAGGGACCGGGATCGGTCACAAAACCAAGTCACAGGGACCGGGATCGGTCACAAAACCAAGTCACAGGTAAAACCTAAACTGCAAAGCTAAAAAAAAAAAAAAAACTTTACTGGGCGGTTTTCCCATTCAATCTGATTTGACAACCTAATATCCTCCTATCCTACGGGTAGTCATGGGGCCGGCTGGGCATTTGGGAGACTAGCCTAGTTCTAGCCTAGTGACCTAATCTGCTATGTCCTAGTTCTAGCCTAGTGACCTAATCTACCATGTCCTAGTTCTAGCCTAGTGACCTAATCTGCCATGTCCTAGTTCTAGCCTAGTGACCTAATCTGCCATGTCCTAGTTCTAGCCTAGTGACCTAATCTGCTATGTCCTAGTTTTAGCCTAGTGATCTAATCTGTTATGGCTTAATTCTAGCCTAGTGACCTAATCTGCTATGTCTAAACGGCCATCCTGCTGGAATCAATGGAGAAGCTCCTTGCCGCCTGCGGTTATCAAAGTTAGACTCATATCTAGCACTAGCAGCTGTGGTGCTGTCATCATTTCGATGATAGCCGGCAGAAGATGTATGTAAATGATGGGAATTTGATTGAAAACTATTTGAATGGCTGTGAGTGACATGACTTGGCTCACGTCTGTTATCAGTGGAACTAGAATTTACATTCAAACCATAGTATCTGTTTTGTGTACTAGTCACAGCAGTTATGTGGGACTGTAGAACTGAAGGTACAAGACCATCATTAATATATGAAGTGTAGCTGGTGCGTATGTTTCTATTTAGTTCTGGTCTTCGCTGATGTAAAGGTAGGCGGTAATGGAGTCTACCTGTAGGCTTGAACATATGACCTTGAGAAACAGAATGAATAGCAGACGTGGAACTTACCACAGACCAGGGACTTTTCTGCCAGGTGGTTTGAATCTTGTGGTCGTCACAGGGTCCTTTGCAAGGTGTAGATTCTGGGGGTTTATTTTTGCTGTCACAGTTAGAGTTGCCAAGAATGTCACCATCAGGGACACGACACACCACCAGACGGGTTTGGACGCCATTTTCTTCACATTTTGCAACTGAACACTAAACAAGAAGAAATTATTTTAAAGTGATCTGGTGCACAACTTTGACCCAATGAACAATTTTGTTTCAAACTGCTGGGGATGGGAGCTGTAGCCACACACTGGCTAGCAGACTTGCCTACTGGCTCTGCAACCATTGGTTTGAGTCCTCACTGAGGAAGATTTTAAAAATCTTCTTTCTTCTTCTTCATGTTCACGGACTGTAAACTCTAGCAGAGAGTTCTGACTGTTCATCCACTTCTGGACTTTAGTCCTGTTCCAGAAATTAAATATGCAGATCTGTTTTACAGATCTGGCTGATTTGTATGCAGACTTTTGGCTCTTTGCCTCTAAGGCATATGCACTCTAACTTTGAAAAATAAAAACACCATTAATTAGACGAATGTTACGACATGCTCCTGGAGGAAAGACAAGGTTCAGGACAGAGATTTATGGACGTGTTTAATAGGGTGTAAGCAAGACAAGGTTCAGGATAGAGATTTATGGACGTGTTTAATAGGGTGTAAGCAAGACAAGGTTCAGGACAGAGATTTATGGACATGTTTAATAGGGTGTAAGCAAGACAAGGTTCAGGACAGAGATTTATGGACGTGTTTAATAGGGTGTAAGCAAGACAAGGTTCAGGACAGAGATTTATGGACGTGTTTTAATAGGGTGTAAGCAAGACAAGGTTCAGGACAGAGATTTATGGACGTGTTTAATAGGGTGTAAGCAAGACAAGGTTCAGGACAGAGATTTATGGACGTGTTTAATAGGGTGTAAGCAAGACAAGGTTCAGGACAGAGATTTATGGACGTGTTTAATAGGGTGTAAGCAAGACAAGGTTCAGGACAGAGATTTATGGACGTGTTTAATAGGGTGTAAGCAAGACAAGGTTCAGGACAGAGATTTATAGACGTGTTTAATAGGGTGTAAGCAAGACAAGGTTCAGGACAGAGATTTATGGACTGCCTGACTCTAGTTTACATGCTGCAGGAGATCGCAGATTATAGAGAGGCATGATCACCCACGCCAGTCGGCAAGGCACCTGATGATGATGATGACTCTAGTCTTAGACCAGTAATGTTTTCTTGATGGCCTTCAGGAGTTTCATTGTTTTCAGAGCCTGATGCAGTTTCAGAAGGGATCATGTTTTATATTCAGGATGTGTCTGAGGGCAACAATGTAAGATAAGAAGAAGACAAGCTGACCTATTGATGGGCAACAAAAAGAGATAGCCGGACAGAAGACTGTGTGAATGCACCGCTAGGATTCAGGTTAGGAGTGTTTGCAAGGGTCCTTTAATGTGGAAATGTGCACTTCCAATAAAATGTAAACATGGATTTGGGGAGTTGTGGTGTGGGGAGTGAATGTGGGGAGTTGTGTGGGGAGTGGGTGTGGTGAGTTGTGGTGTGGGAAGTGGATGTGGGGAGTGATGGTGTGGGGAGTGGATGGGGGGAGTTATGGTGTGGGGAGTTGTGGTGTGGGGAGTGGATGTGGGAAGATGTGGTGTGGGGAGTGGATGTGGGGAGTTGTGGTGTGGCGAGTGGATGTGGGGATTTGTGGTGTGGGAAGTGGATGTGGGGAGTTGCAGTGTGGGGAGTTGTGGTGTGGGGAGTTGTGGTGTGGGAAGTGGTGGTGTGGGGAGTGGATGTGGGGAGTGGATGTGGGGAGTGGTGGTGTGGGGAGTTGTGGTGTGGGGAGTGGATGTAGGGAGCTGTGGTGTGGGGAGTGGATATGGGGAGTTGTGGTGTGGTGAGTGGATGTGGTGAGTGATGGTGTGGGAAGTGGATGTGGGGATTGGTGGCATGGGGAGTGGATTTGGGTTGAGTTATGGTATGGGGAGTGGGTGTGGGGAGATGTGGTGTGGGGAGATGTGGTGTGGGGAGTGGATATGGAGAGTGGTGGTGTGGGGAGTTGTGGTGTGGGGAGTGGATTTGGGTTGAGTTATGGTATGGGGAGTGGGTGTGGGGAGATGTGGTGTGGGGAGATGTGGTGTGGGGAGATGTGGTGTGGGGAGTGGATGTGGGGAGCTGTGGTGCGGGAAGTGGATTTGGGGAGTTGTGGAGTGGGGAGTGGATGTAAGGAGTTGTGGTGTGGGGAGTGGATGTGGAGAGTGGTGGTGTGGGGAGTGTATGTGGGGAGTGGATGTGGAGAGTGGTGGTGTGGGGAGTGGATGGGGGAGTTGTGGTGTGGGGAGTTGTGGTGTGGGGAGTGAATGTGGGGAATTGTGGTGTGGGGAGTTGTGGTGTAGGGAGTGGATGTGGGGAGTTGTGGAGTGGGGAGATGTGGTGTGGGGAGTGGATATGGAGAGTGGTGGTGTGGGGAGTTGTGGTGTGGGGAGTGGATTTGGGTTGAGTTATGGTATGGGGAGTGGGTGTGGGGAGATGTGGTGTGGGGAGATGTGGTGTGGGGAGATGTGGTGTGGGGAGTGGATGTGGGGAGCTGTGGTGCGGGAAGTGGATTTGGGGAGTTGTGGAGTGGGGAGTGGATGTAAGGAGTTGTGGTGTGGGGAGTGGATGTGGAGAGTGGTGGTGTGGGGAGTGTATGTGGGGAGTGGATGTGGAGAGTGGTGGTGTGGGGAGTGGATGGGGGAGTTGTGGTGTGGGGAGTTGTGGTGTGGGGAGTGAATGTGGGGAATTGTGGTGTGGGGAGTTGTGGTGTAGGGAGTGGATGTGGGGAGTTGTGGAGTGGGGAGTTGTGGTGTGGGGAGTGGATGTGGGGAGTTGTGGTGTGTTGTCGGTGATGATGATGAAAAATATACTTGCATTAAGCCTCATATCAGATGAAAAGAACAGGCACATTTCTATCAATCATAAGTCAGACAAATCATTGAGACAACTATCAATCATAAGTCAGACAAATCATTGAGACAACTGGACTTACATTTGACCATGTGTCAACATGCCAGCTTGGGCATGCTCCACTGTCGCAGTGTTTGAATTCATCAGGTTTGACAGTTTTATCACATTCGTCACTAGCGCCTTGCTCATCCCGGCACATGACATGTCGTCTCTGCCACCCTGTGCCACAAGAACTAGAGCACTGAAAATATAATTACAATCAAATAATATTCACTACAAAGAGCACTGAAGAAGACTGGGAGCCACAGAAGGTCATGAGTTCAAATCTGGATGTTCTTGGTCTTGTTTAAAAAATGACCTTGGTTTTCAGCTCGACCCATCCTAAAATGGGTACCAAGTAAAGTCTTGGGAAGTTGAGGCAGCCGGCACGATGTTGACCAAATCACCCACAAGTGCTGATTGGTCTGTAAAATACAGGCCTGGCTCTATATGCTTATTACGCCAAAGAACGTGGACAAGGATCCTCGACTTTACTGTAGGCAACTGATCATAAACATCAGAAAGAGACAGTCATCATTTTTCTTTGCCACCTTATAAGTTCAGCATAGTACTTGAAGCACTCCAGTCTAGGAAACGACCAGAGTTGCAAACACTGCTGACACAACTTAGCCTTTAGTGAAGAATCGTAATGCAGTGGACACCATCATATTGTGGAGTGCCTGGAAATGATAAAGCTGATCAACTGGCAGGGGAAGGTGTGACAAAAGAGCAGCCGGATGTACCAGTCACATACCACCAAAAGAAACGAATCATTAAATCAATCAGGAAACCACCAGCCCCAGCACAAGGCGACTATTTTATTATGGACAGACCAGAACAAGTCATTATCCCCCGCCTCAGAACAGGGCACAACGGATTACGTAATCACTTGTACACAAAATTCAAAATAGGCATATCAGCCATGTGCACCTGTGGAAAGGTGCCCCAGACAGCAGAGCATGTATTCCAGGACTGCACCGAATTTGACACATTAAGGCAAACCTTTTGGCCAGAAAGAACAACTGTGGAACCTAAACTCTATGGACCACTGAATGAATTAACAACCACAGTGAAATTTATACAAGAGACAAAATTGCTGATATAGACAACTTATTTCAGGCGAACGAAAGAAGAGGAAGAAGAAGAAGAAGAAGAGAAAAAGTTCAGCAAATTGGAACATATGACAAATAGAAAGATTAGAAAGACAGAGAAAAACCAAATGAAAATATTGCAGACAACCTTTTATCATGATAGAAGTTTGTCAGCACACAGGTTGATCAATACTGTATTTGTTAGTAAAATGCTGAGAAACCTGGCCACCTAGGCCAGAATGATAGGTACTTGATGTCAATGATTTTAACAACAGATGAGCAAACAGTATGACTGGTTGAACTCTTTACTGAAATTACTGGTGCCATCAGAATTGGAACTCTTCACTTGCTGCTGAAGATGGGGATGAAGAGCTTATGGGAGTGTCCAAAGTACAATACTGATGATTCCTGATTCAACATTCTTTACCAAAATGTCCTAACAAAATAAACAATTGCTGAGTACCTCCTGAACAAAACACAGTTAGATACTTTGATTTCAGGCAAGGATTGCACACTGAAGTGAACGGAAAAGTTTGCGTGACTTGGCTTGTAGTAGTGGCTTTGACACTCAGGTCCGAGTTTTAGTGGCAGAGCCGTGCTGTGTGGAGGCTGGTTGTATAGTGGCCCTGTTTGAGTTTTAGTGGCAGAGCCGTGCTGTGTGCAGGCTGGTTGTATAGCACCCCTGTTTGAGTTTTAGTGGCAGAGCCGTGCTGTGTGCAGGCTGGTTGTATAGCACCCCTGTTTGAGTTTTAGTGGCAGAGCCGTGCTGTGTGCAGGCTGGTTGTATAGCGGCCCCTGTCTGAGTTTTAGTGGCAGAGCCGTGCTGTGTGGAGGCTGGTTGTATAGCAGCCCTGTTGTTGGGGATCATTAGCACTGAGTCTGTTGCTGTAGGCAGATTATTACAAAATAGCACATTGTCAGGATCACATCGGTTGAGCCAGCTTATAAATAGCAGCTAGAAAATGTTTTGGAAAGTAAAGGTGGCCAAAAACATATTAACCAGGTCCTCTGTCAGATGCTCAAACAAAACTGTTCCATCTCCACAATGCGGTGTGAATAGAATGTATCCATGAGAATATCGCATGATCAGGCCCCTGTCTCTCCCTTGGTGTGACTCTCATACTGCTGGCTAAATTCTATAAGAACCATCTCTTTCTAAACCGCTCCCGATCAAACTCTGGTAAACGTCGACGATGGCACTATGAAAGGATTTTACCAACTTCTAAGACAAGGGAAGCTTTTACATGCTGACTGGCTTATGAAACTGCAGAACCGTATAACCTTAGCCACATGCCCCTGAGTCTCACCAGCAAACAATAAGCCAATTATTTATTTAGGTAAAGGACACCCCCCCCCCCCCCCCCTTTTCCCCCACCAACCATACCCACCATCAATGCCACTGGAGCATGACCTATATGATGCTGCACTCATATTTTTCAAGACAAAGTTTAACTCTTTCAGTGCCAGGTGGTTTCAGCTTTTTGACTACTCGCCAGGATATTTTCTTCTACCCATTTTAGGTTGGGTCAATCTGGAAGCCAAAGCCAGTTTCCCCTCCAAATACATCTGGTAGGGAATAGAACACAAGACATGTCAACTGGCAAGCAAGAGTTTAGCCACCATGCTTCCACAGTTTCATTTACTAATGATATACCAAATTATTAAGTTATTTGGACACTTATAAGAAAGAATATAAGGACACACACAAACATGCTGATATATTATCAGGTGATAGGGAACTTACCGTGCTCCACTGACCCACTCTCCAGTGGGTAGTGCCAACCACACTGTTACTGGTAATGACCGCCACATCAAAGCTGTCGGGCGTCAGGCAGGTTCCTCTGTTGCACTGGATCTCTGTCTCTGGTTTCACAGTGATGTCACAGAAGCGGTCATCCTGACGCTGCTGGTTGAATGTACAGGCAACAAACCGGGTTTGGATACCCTCCCCACATGTCACAGTGCACTGTGTAGAAATATCATGAGAACTTATTAAAGTTCTACAGATAATGTATTGTCACAAAAACTCGTTAATTTACTATAATAAAAACACATTATTGCTTTATAACAACAACAAAGGAATGTTCCATAACAAGAACAAAATAATGTATATAAGCATAACAGATTATTAAATGAAAAGATATCTAGTTCTGATGTTATGACTGCCCTAAATATTTTAATGTACCGACTTGGTTAAGAAAAGAACATCACTTACATCACTCCAGTCTCCTTGTCTCCAGGCTCCACATGGCTGCCGCATGCAGTTTTCCACCTTTGGAGGTTGTGGCAGGTGTGAACATTCTTTCTCGTCAATCTTGTTTCCATGGTAGTCCATACAGCTGACATACCGATGTTTTGTTCCAGCACCGCATGAAGCAGAACACTAGAAGGGGTTGACATTGTGTGAGAAATTAGGATATTAGAAGAACCATTGGAACAATCATTGTTGTTATCAAGTGTCTTGTCTTGCCGACTGACGTCGATCATGTCTCTCCACAATCGATTTTTAACATCATGTACCAGTTTGTGTGCTGACAATCTCCTGTGTCATAAAAAAAGGCTGTCTCATGTTTTCTTCTTCTGTCTGTTTCACCACATATCTTTCAGCTGCTCACAACATTTCTTTTTTTTTTTTTTTTCCGATAACCTGACCCAAAAAAATGATGAGTATCTCTTTTTGATATTTGTGAGAAGTTGTCTTCAAGTCCTTGCCTTTTAAAAAATCATTTGGTTGCTCTTTTTAGCTGTGCAGGGAATTCTATGGATTCTTCATTTGATAAAATGCAGTTTTAGCATGTCCTATTCTGCTCTTTATCCCTGATATGTGCCTAGATACTTACATTTCTGTATTTGTCCTAAAATAACAGCTTTGACTTTTATTATATTTAGGCACCATTCTCTTCTTTGATATTACCATTACTTCTGTTAATTTCATTGAGGAACAAAGATGAAATGACTTGGTGCAATATGCTCTGCTAGGGGGTTTGGTTCAACTCGTCACATCGCTATAATGATATTCTTAGGTACACACAGTTGCTATGAATACACCAGACGTTTAGTTATTGACCTTTATTCGCTGTTTTCACAACCGTACTGTCCATGCGCTCTTTGCGTTCTCGTGGTCGCTACGCATGGCTGATTCCTGATGATCTTACCAACAATCGCACGATGCAATTTTCTCTGCTATTACCTTTCAGATCATACATCTGTAGCATATTAAGGTATTGTACCTGATACTCATATACAGTTGAAACTTGCAATCAGAAGACATTCATGTCTGCTCTCAAACAAGTACACATGGTCAGACGTTCTGCATTTCATCAGTTGTTCTCTCACATTTGACCGCACGCATCCACGTCCGAACTTTAACTGCCTTACTACCCTCTCTGATTTCACATCTTCCGTTCCAGTCTCACGCTTTCCTCGTATCCCTCATTCACTCACCACGGGATACTCGCGACCTGCTTATCTCGCTTTCCTCTTGTTTCACTGGTCCTCTGACCTTGTCCCCCAATTGGGAACTCTCTGGGATTCCCCCTGGAATTGACAACATTACACTTGGCCACCTAGTGAGAATGAATCCCATGATGCTAGCAAACAGAGATGAAATGACTTGGCCACCCAGTGAGAATGAATCCCATGATGCTAGCAAACAGAGATGAAATGACTTGGCCACCTAGTGAGAATGAATCCCATGATGCTAGCAGTGACAGTATATGACATGAACATGGAAACACCAAGAGGCAGAGGAAGACCTAGAAAATATGGAATGCAGGAGTCAATGATAGTCTAAGACTTCATATCATTACAGCATACCAGACAACCAAACGTACCATGGCTCTGCCACCTATCTTCTGTTAAACTGTAATGCTTGGTGGCACCAAGTGGATTCTGACAACAGAAATATGCCTAACTGACAGGTGGATGTACAAACAGTGGCTTCTGGTATCAAGGTGGGGACAGAGGCGGTGACTGAAGTGAATCAAGAAAAAAGAACTATGAAAAGGAGGGGGGAAATACAGAAAATATGGTACAGATCATATTCACAAGACAACAGATTGGAAAACCAACACTGGTTATAATTATGAACAAGATTTTCTCAAACATCTTAACAGAACAGACCAAGTTACAGTTTTTGGCTTACGCACTGGACACTGAGACTGGACACTGAGACTGGACACTGAGACTGGACACTGAGACTGGACACTGAGACTGGACACTGAGACTGGACACTGAGACTGGACACTGAGACTGGACACTGAGACTGGACACTGAGACTGGACACTGAGACTGGACACTGAGACTGGACACTGAGACTGGACACTGAGACTGGACACTGAGACTGGACACTGAGACTGGACACTGAGACTGGACACTGAGACTGGACACTGAGACTGGACACTGAGACTGGACACTGAGACTGGACACTGCAGACTGGACACTGAGACTGGACACTGAGACTGGACACTGAGACTGGGCACTGAGACTGGACACAGAGACTGGACACAGACTGAACACTGAGACTAGACACTGAGACTGGACACTGAGACTGGACACTGAGACTGGACACTGAGACTGGACACTGAGACTGGACACTGAGACTGGACACTGAGACTGGACACAGACTGGACACTGAGACTGGACACTGAGACTGGACACTGAGACTGGACACTGAGACTGGACACTGAGACTGGACACTGAGACTCGACACTGAGACTGGACACTGAGACTGGACACTGAGACTGGACACTGAGACTAGACACTGAGACTGGACACTGAGACTGGACACTGAGACTAGACACTGAGACTGGACACTGAGACTGGACACTGAGACTGGACACTGAGACTGGACACTGAGACTGGACACTGAGACTGGACACTGAGACTGGACACTGAGACTGGACACTGAGACTGGACACTGCAGAAACAATAAACACTCATATAAATTAGGTATGAGTTAAACAACTCTCTGCCAGTGTCTTCGTGTTGAACAGACTCCAGAACATGTTCTGCAAGACTTTCCTCTCTTGGTGGAGCTGCGGAGCAACAAAGGACAACACCCAGTAGAACTGACAACTAAGCTTTGGGGAAACCTAAGAGACCCTGAGAGGACACTCCAGTTAATGGTCCACAGTGGATTATGTGCATGACCAGAGACTGCTGGAAAAGGAGAAGATATTCACAAGACAGATTAATACACCAGCTCTTGACCTACCTCCGTCCAGCTGCCATATCTCCAGAAAGCAGCTTTAGGTACAGTTTTAACAGCAATTGTAGAAATGGACTTCTCCGTTGGACATGCTCCAATAAAACAAGCTTTCTTATCCACGGGCCTCATGCTGGCGTCACACACTGCATCATCCTGGAACCCTTCACCGACTCGGCATTTGACTGTCCCCAGACTGACTCCTGTCCCACATGTCACAGAGCACTGAAAACATAAGGTCACGATTCAGAACACTGAAAATATAAGGTCACAGTTCAGAGCACTGAAAACATAAGGTCACAATTCAGAGCACTGAAAACATAAGGTCATGATTCAGAGCACTGAAAACATAAGGTCATGATTCAGAGCACTGAAAATATAAGGTCACAATTCAGAGCACTGAAAACATAAGGTCATGATTCAGAGCACTGAAAACATAAGGTCATGATTCAGAGCACTGAAAACATAAGGTCATGATTCAGAGCACTGAAAATATAAGGTCACAATTCAGAGCACTGAAAACATAAGGTCATGATTCAGAGCACTGAAAACATAAGAAATCAGAGCACTGAACAGTTTGAAAAAATCTATCCAGCCAGGTCTGGTGCTTGCATAAAGATGTGAAAATTGCAGCTCTGTTCCACAGAGGCGAAACGCAATTACACACACACACACACACACACATACAAATTACAGAATCTAAGAAAAAGACTCAAGCATGAATACATCCCACAAAATCAGCAAATTACTAATCATTTGGATGAACACAGACCAATACAGAATAGGCAGCAGAGCTGTATCTTGATCTGTTTGTGCATGCATGCGTGTGTGATTGGGGAAGAGGGGGGATTTCTCAACATGTGTCTAATGCCAGAATCTTTTCTTCATCTCTTGATTTACTGGAATTTATTTATGCTCTATGTTAGTGATTCTGACATACCGTTTAGTTCCCTTTGTACCATGCAGACATCGGCTAATGAATTTTTGTAATTTATTAGTAACTGTTTTAGTTATCTCTATGTTTCCGCTCCATAAAACAGCAATAATGTGACATTAGAGTTGAACATTTTAAGTTTAGTATTAGTGTTGATTTTTGTGGACATCCACAAACTTTCTAGAGCTATGAAAACTTTTCTTGCCTCTTCCATCATATTTTAATATCCCTCCATCTTTAAGCAGACTACTGCCCAAACAGGTGAATGACTTCACATCTTGGAGTGGGATATCGTTAAGAGAAACTAGATTACTGTTTTCTTTATTTATACTCATTATCTTTGTCTTTTACTTATGGATCTATAACCTAGTGGTTGTGATATCATATCAAGTATGTGTAATTTATCTCACCGCAGATTCTGTGAGTGGCAATATATATATATATATATATATATATATATATATATATATATATATATATATATATATATATATATATATATATATGTGTGTGTGTGTGTGTGTGTGTGTGTGTGCGTGTGTGCGTTTTGTGTGTGTGTGTGTGTATGGAAGAGTTTAACATTTTACTGCAGAAATGACTGAGACTCTAAAATAGCAATAATGGACATTTCAAAACATTTCATCCAGCAAAATTTGTATTTTTTCTTTTTTTTATGTTTGTTGCAAATCAGAATGTATTTGCAAATAAAAGTGAGGTTTTCACAAAATTTTTTAATCAGAATTAACAAGCCTGTCATTTAAAGTGAAACATTTCCATTGTAGATTGTGAAACTCACCGGACCCCAGCCTCCCAGGTACCACTCAGGGCAACTGTCAAGATTACATTCTTTCTTTGCCGGAGGTTTCTTTTTAGCACATTCTTCATCATCAACCTTCTCACCGTCCTTCATGCACCACACTTTCCTCTGTTTGTAGCCAGTGCCGCAGCTCACCGAGCACTGACAGACACAAATAAGGATCTATGTTTAAAACATAATTAATTCACAGAATGAAAGCAATAACATGTATAGTTTATTTTCTAGGAAAAGGTCTCACTACTTATCACAAAGTGTTAAAACAAAGTTCTTGACTACCACAAAGTTTCTGGGACCCCATTATGTTAGAGCTGACTAACTGGGGAAAAGGGGGAGTGCATTAGCCTTAGTGGCAAGGAACCAACAGCCTGCATACAAATAAATCAGACCTGTAAAATGGATATGCATGCAAAACTCAGTTTCTTGGAACAAGTCTTGTCCAGAACAACCAAAACTTTCTGCCAGACTTTACAGCTGGTTAAGGCGAAGAAGAAGACTAGCACAAAGTATCTTTTAAAGAGGCATTTAAAAAAAAAGTTTGAAACAAATAATGCCAGTACTATGTAGCGCTGTGTAACAAAAAAAAATACAAATGACAACAGACGTTGAAGGTAATTGTTTTAAAGTTCTTAAACTATCAAATGAAGACAAGCAAAGTAAATGTATAACTGAACTGTAATGTTTGTGATGTCAGACACACAAGGGGAACTCACCCCTAGCCAGTTTCCAGTTGTCCATTCAGCACACTGACCTAAATTACAGTGTCGAGTAACAGTCCTGTCTTTGTCAACACACTCTGTGTCTGCAAGTTCTTTGCCGGACTCGTCCACACATTTGGCTCGTCTCTCCTGAATGCCATCTCCACATGTTCTAGAACACTGCGGAGAAAAACAATAAAACTATAATTTTCTAAATGAAATGTTACCCTCTGTGTGCTACAGTATTGGTTTGTGTTGTTTAACATCAAGTCAATAGACTGCAGTGGTTGAGGCATATAGAAAGAATAGGAGAGGCAAAAACTGTGTTATACAAAAGAGTTGAATGGGAGTACACCATGAGGCAGACCAAGAAGATAGAGGAGAGATCAAATACAGGCAGACCTACAAACACTTATGGTCATCAGCTAGAAAGAAAAGACCAGTCCTAGAAAGATCAATGAAGATTGCTGATATCTGCAGCAGTGAACTTCAATGGTTTAGAATTCTGAAGAAGAAGAAAGAGTTTAACTATTTATTTTTACTTTCAGCATGCTACTGTCTATTTAAAATAATATTCAAGCTCAAAAATAGTGGAAGCCACTTTGGATAGCATATATGATAAAGACTGAAACTAAAATATGATTGTAAATGTAGAATTCTGAGCTCATTTAAAAATGCCTTCACAGGGAAAGGGTGAGGAAATAAATCACTAGGACTTAGTAACCGCACCAGGGTGCAGAAGCATCAAGTTAGTCAGAAATGGTGAAGCCAGACAAAAGCACTAAGACTGAGGCAAAAGAAGAATAAACCAACACAGAACTGGTGTCTACAGTGCTTACATGCTGTAGGAGTTGATTCGACCACCTGTGGACTGAGCTGTTTAATGTGTAGTGAAAGTAATCAGTTTCACTGAATGACTGATTGGCTAGCTAACTAAGCTAATTAAAATAATTAATTGTACATACATAAATCAAGAATACATTTGGCTAGAAGAACATACATTTGTTAGTAGTAATCGATCACCATAAGCACATCTTCCTGTGTCAAAAATATACTTTCCAGCAAATAAGAGATATGATGTCAAAATAAATGTATAATTTTGCGACATTGTAGAGAATGTGGTTTAGACAAAAGAACAAGCTCTGACCTGGGACCACTCTGTGTACATCCATGATGTGGGGAGACACTGGCCCTGGCAAGGTACAGTCTCATTTGGCTTGGGACCAAAAGCATTTTGGCATTCTTTGTCATTGATTACATGGACAGTCTTGTAAACTGTTTGTTTGATACAGTGAACAATTTGCCTGCGCACAGCAGTCCCGCAGCGAACTGGGCACTCTTCTTTGCTGAAGAAACGCCAGCTGAAAGCAAAGACAAGACAAATGATCAGTTATTTATATGTGTAAGTGAACATTCAGAATGATCATTTATTCAATTGTGCAAGTAGACATTCAGAACTTGAAACATCTACAGTGTGTGACTAAAACACGACAAATCAAAACACAAATGCTAACATTTAAGGTGTGTCTAAAATAAGACAAATGATAAGTTATTTATACGTGTAAGTAGATACTGACAAATTCTAACATTTAGGGTGTGTTTAAAACATGACAAATTAACAGGTTTTTATATGTATAAGTAGATAATCAATTTCTAATTCAAATTCTAACATGTAACGTGTGCGTTTAAAACATGACAAATCAACAGTTGTTTATATGTGTAAGGAGACATTCATAAATCTAAGGTGTGTGTCCAACACAAGACAAATGATTTTTTATTGGAGGTTAGTTTTCATAAGCAACACTGAATCTGGTTATCAGCATATTATTTTTCTTGGGCTATTAAAGCTTTACAATATTCAAAATTTGAATGTTTGTCACGTTTTGCGCAGTTTTTTTTTCTCCAACTGTGAGCTAGCTTTTACAGGTAATTACACTCATAAATAAATTCAGTGATATGTGGTTTCAGTTATATATGGTTACAGTTTTTTATGATTTATGTTATATATGATTTCGGTTTTATGTGTTTTCAGTTATATATTTTCACTTAAAAATACACACCGAATGCAGACAAACACGTGAGGCAGATGCACAGATAGAAGCACACACACAACTACACAAACACTCTTACACACACAATAATGAAACACGCACTCAACATATTCACAATCACAGACACAACATACACATAGATGCAACACACAAACATAGACACAACGCATAAACACAGAAATAAATGCACACCGAAACAACATTACACATAGACACAACACATACACAGACAAAAACACACACTGACACAAAATCTCACACACAGAAACAACACACACTGGCACAACATATGCACTCTCATGGACACAGACTATACACACAACCCATGCATAACCCACATAACATACAGGCACAGATAAAAGACATACACACAAAGTAAATAGAAACACAACATAGACACAGCACTCAAAGAAATAACACTAATACATACAATGTAACATTCACATGCAAAACACTTGCAAATACAACAAACAGAGAGACACGCACACACTCACAGGCTCAACACATATACATAGACACAAGAGACAGAGAGAAAGAGAGAGACAGAGATGGAGAGAGAAACAGAGATGGAGAGAGAGACCGCTGATTACAGAAACACTATGTAAAGGATGAACACCCTATGACATGGCCTTCTCCATGACAACCAGCAGCATGACGATGGAGGTGATGGCAGTGACACAAGCGCTTGCCTGGCTTGAAACACAAAAAAAAATACACCCGCGTGTGTATACTCAGTGATTCAATGAGTATGATCCGGAGGGTTCAGGCAGGTTCAGTGCGAAGACAATGGCTTGAATCATTACAGAAGTCCACTGTTCGTGGAGTCACCTTTATTTTTGTTCCGGGACACGCAGGCGTCAATGGAAATGAAAGAGCTGACAGGTTGGCTGGATCCGCTATCACTACCGACGGTCAGCCTATGGATCATGCTGATATTATCAATGCCCTCAGAGAAATGGGAAGAATAGAGGACTTTGGTGGCAGTGAATCCACATCACTCACCAGAATGGCAGACTTGGGAATTAAGATCGGCACAGCAAAAAACGAGACGCACACCAGCTACGCCAGAAGACTTGTTAATCAACATAGAACTGGTACTATTAGCCATCGGACGTTGGGGTTCATACTGAGGGGAGGATCTGAGCACCTATGGACATGTCCGGAGTGCAATGAGGATAACCCAACTAACTAACTAACTAACTAACTAACCCCATGACATGATTTAGAACCAAACCTCCAACTGTGCCACTTTTCCTGCAGTTTATTGTCACTGTCAACATTTAGATCACCTTCTGATATTTATGCTTTATTTTATAATCATTATATATCTTCAAGAGGTCTTGCTGGCTAAAATGTTAAGCACACTAGGCTGTCATGCTGGAAACCCCAGTTTGAATCTTCAGGAAAGTTAGGAAATTTGACTGCTGGGACAAAACTAAAATCTCAACCTACACCATCCATGTCCACTGCACTAGCTATACAACTAAAAATCTTCAGGCTCAAAGACCTGCCTGCCTTCATTGCTCTCAAAAGTGGTTCTGCTACTCAGTTGTGATATTGAACTATATGCAGACAAGAAAATTGAAACTCATTGAGAAAAAAGAACTTAAATCACTGACCTGATTTTACAGTCAGTGTTGCAAGGTTCAGTCAGTCTGACGGGTCGCTTGAGTCCCTTGCATCGTTTCTTGTAGACTATCACATTATCATCCTCCCCAACACACTGGACTTTGCTTCTCCGTATGCCTGTCAGCAACTAGAAGCTGTTAGCTGATAATCTCACTGTTATATCTAATTTCAATATGTTAACTTATAATGTCCTTATGTTAGCTGACAATATCATTATGTTAGTTGACAATGTCATTATGTTAGCTGAAAATATCACTGTGTAAGCTGAAAATGTCAGTATGTTAGCTGATAATGTCACTGTGTTAGCTGACATTGTCATTGTGTAAATGATGTCAATAAGAAAGGGAAATAATACAATATGATCACGTTGACTGCCACCAGCCCTGGCTTACCTTTTCCTGCTCTTTCTTCAGCTTCACAAGCCTGCAGTCTTGTTTCACCGTGTGTATCTCCAAATATAATACACTCATTTCTAGTGATGCACATCAATTGTCCAGACTACTCCAGTTAAACTTATGATTCTTGTTTAGTTTCTTCTCACTGCAGATGTTATTGACTTAGCTACAGTCTGGTTCCACACACTTCCTGGCTCTTACTTCTATTCAAGTGGTTGTAAATGAACTACTTATCAAACTTCTTGGTTGTTACTTCTGTGCAAGTGGTTGTAAATGAACTACTTACAACACTTCTTGGCTCTTACTTCTGTGCAAGTCGTTGTAAATGAACTACTTACCACACTTCTTGGCTCTTACTTCTGTGCAAGTGGTTGTAAATGAACTACTTACCACACTTCTTGGCTCTTACTTCTGTGCAAGTGGTTGTAAATGAACTACTTACCACACTTCTTGGCTCTTACTTCTGTGCAAGTGGTTGTAAATGAACTACTTACCATTACAGACAGCACTGCACTTGCTCCATCCATGGTTCTTCCATTGTACGTTCTTGTTAACGGACACCATATAAGAGTATGTGATGTTTGGGGGATTCAGTCTACCAACAGACAGCACCTGGAGAAACATTATGTCAAATTAACTCAACATTTGTCAACTCTAGCAAATTATCATTCTTACTGACGACATGAAGATTTATTGCCTGGCATACTTCGCTGCATTCCATCAGATACAGGCTACAGAATGAAATCAACATAATGCATCCTCTTAGCTGAAATATCCAACCCACACTGTCCAATATTCATTTCAAGGTATGTCTTCTTATAGTAGTTTCATGCTCATCAATATTTATTTTGTCAAGCAAAATATGCTAATATGCCAGGCAAGCAATTTTGTAACACACTGCATCAGGGAGTGCTAAATTCTCAGGCTTAAGGCTCCCTTGTCTACACTGCTCTAGACAGTAGCGACAGTGACTGTGAGTATTTTCATTATTTAAACTTGGAAAGGAATAAAACATTATTTATAAAATGAAATGCCTTCAGAAAACTGGCAATTGAACCATCTGAGAATAATGAGAAATTATTCTATCAAATTGGCTGTGGAAACCAAATTAATTGAGAAGCAAAAGATCAAATCAGAACAACACAACAACAACTACAAAAAAAAAAAACATGCACACACAAAAACACAAATGCACACCTTTACATTCTACTATATGAGAACTACCTAGTCATATCTACACCTTTCATCAACAGTTCTCATTATGCCTAGTGGCTTCAGAGAGGACTTTCCATGCTTTCCTGTCCTGTGCAATCTTCAGTGCAGTTTTCCATGTCAAAGATACCACACTCAGGTCACTTTCCATCGTTCATTTCCATGTTGTTTTTGGGCGCCCCTGTTTTCTCTTTCCCTCTGGTGTCCATGTGAGAGCTGTTTTGGCAGGTATATCAGAAGTCATTTTCATAACGTGGCCAAGCCATTTCCATCTTCTCTTGGTAATCATACTGTCTAAAGTTTCTTGGTTTGTGGCTTGAAATGGTGAAACTATGGGGGTGACTGCAGTCAAGCTAATACAATGAATTCCAGAGAAATTTGACTAAAAAGCTCAACAAAATGGGAAAAAGGAAAACGTGCACAAAACAACACAACGTAACGTTTCGGCCAGGCAGCCTTTTTCAAACACAAGTGGACTACACAAAAGAGGAATGGAGCGAAAGCGCGGAAAGTAAACCAAACATGCACAGTGACAAACAAAAACGTGGGTCAGGCGCAGTCGATGTGAAAATCCAAAAATGGTGAAACTATGGGGGTGACTGCAGTCAAGCTAATACAATGAATTCCAGAGAAATTTGACTAAAAAGCTCAACAAAATGGGAAAAAGGAAAACGTGCACAAAACAACACAACGTAACGTTTCGGCCAGGCAGCCTTTTTCAAACACAAGTGGACTACACAAAAGAGGAATGGAGCGAAAGCGCGGAAAGTAAACCAAACATGCACAGTGACAAACAAAAACGTGGGTCAGGCGCAGTCGATGTGAAAATCCAAAAATGGTGAAACTATGGGGGTGACTGCAGTCAAGCTAATACAATGAATTCCAGAGAAATTTGACTAAAAAGCTCAACAAAATGGGAAAAAGGAAAACGTGCACAAAACAACACAACGTAACGTTTCGGCCAGGCAGCCTTTTTCAAACACAAGTGGACTACACAAAAGAGGAATGGAGCGAAAGCGCGGAAAGTAAACCAAACATGCACAGTGACAAACAAAAACGTGGGTCAGGCGCAGTCGATGTGAAAATCCAAAAATGGTGAAACTATGGGGGTGACTGCAGTCAAGCTAATACAATGAATTCCAGAGAAATTTGACTAAAAAGCTCAACAAAATGGGAAAAAGGAAAACGTGCACAAAACAACACAACGTAACGTTTCGGCCAGGCAGCCTTTTTCAAACACAAGTGGACTACACAAAAGAGGAATGGAGCGAAAGCGCGGAAAGTAAACCAAACATGCACAGTGACAAACAAAAACGTGGGTAAACCAAACATGCACAGTGACAAACAAAAACATCGACTGCGCCTGACCCACGTTTTTGTTTGTCACTGTGCATGTTTGGTTTACTTTCCGCGCTTTCGCTCCATTCCTCTTTTGTGTAGTCCACTTGTGTTTGAAAAAGGCTGCCTGGCCGAAACGTTACGTTGTGTTGTTTTGTGCACGTTTTCCTTTTCCCATTTTGTTGAGCTTTTTAGTCAAATTTCTCTGGAATTCATTGTATTAGCTTGACTGCAGTCACCCCCATAGTTTCACCATTTTTGGATTTTCACATCGACTGCGCCTGACCCACGTTTTTGTTTGTCACTGTGCATGTTTGGTTTACTTTCCGCGCTTTCGCTCCATTCCTCTTTTGTGTAGTCCACTTGTGTTTGAAAAAGGCTGCCTGGCCGAAACGTTACGTTGTGTTGTTTTGTGCACGTTTTCCTTTTTCCCATTTTGTTGAGCTTTTTAGTCAAATTTCTCTGGAATTCATTGTATTAGCTTGACTGCAGTCACCCCCATAGTTTCACCATTTTTGGATTTTCACATCGACTGCGCCTGACCCACGTTTTTGTTTGTCACTGTGCATGTTTGGTTTACTTTCCGCGCTTTCGCTCCATTCCTCTTTTGTGTAGTCCACTTGTGTTTGAAAAAGGCTGCCTGGCCGAAACGTTACGTTGTGTTGTTTTGTGCACGTTTTCCTTTTTCCCATTTTGTTGAGCTTTTTAGTCAAATTTCTCTGGAATTCATTGTATTAGCTTGACTGCAGTCACCCCCATAGTTTCACCATTTTTGGATTTTCACATCGACTGCGCCTGACCCACGTTTTTGTTTGTCACTGTGCATGTTTGGTTTACTTTCCGCGCTTTCGCTCCATTCCTCTTTTGTGTAGTCCACTTGTGTTTGAAAAAGGCTGCCTGGCCGAAGCGTTACGTTGTGTTGTTTTGTGCACGTTTTCCTTTTTCCCATTTTGTTGAGCTTTTTAGTCAAATTTCTCTGGAATTCTTTGTGGCTTGAAGTAGTTTAGTGTTTGAGATTGTATCTGGCCAGAAAATTTTGATAATTCTACATAGACATGTGTAGTGGAAGGTGGACAGCTTGTGTGCATCCTTTTTGGTCATTTTGGTCAGCATTCCGCTCCATAAAGAAGAAATGGCAAAATGATGCTCTTAAAGAGTCGGAGTTTCGTTCTTCTGCAGTAATTGTTGGATTTCCAGATTTGCCTCATGCTTCCAAAAGCAGCTCTAGCTTTGTTCAGATGTGACTGCATGTCTTCCTCTGTCCCTCCCAGTCAGGACACCACACTGCCAAGATATGTGAAATGTTCTACATTTTCAAGTGATTGGTTACTTATGGTCACTGGTTGTTGGTTTGGACTGTTTGTCATGATCTTAGTTTTCTTTATATTTATTCTCAGTCCCACCATTTCTGCTGTGCAGTGTAGTCTGTTACTTTTCTCTTGTATATGTTCATGTTTATGTGATAGGAGTGCTATATCATCTGCAAAATCAAGGTCCTCAAGCATGGTGGATGGAGTCCATCGTATGCCTCTTAATATCCTGTCTAATGTGTTCTTTAGAATCCAATCAATCACAAAGCTGAAGAGGAGAGATGACATAGCACATCCCTGTATTACACCTGTCTTTATTGGGAAAGAGGTATTGTAATATCTACACCTTTACATTCTACTATATGAGAAATGCTTAGTCATATCTACACCTTTACATTCTACTATATGAGAACTGCCTAGTCATGTCTACACTGGCCTGACTGATGTCAGTGTTCACTGAAATGAAAATTGTCAACTCACAAAAACGCTGATATTCTCCTCAATCACCATGGTGGTATTGATTCGCTCTGTCAGCTCCTCTGACCCTGTATACTCCACCAGTGCCCCTCTGACCTTCACTTTCCATGGCTCTGTCCTGACGGTGTACTCTCCATTCAAAATGTATCTGCGCTGTGAATCTTGCAGTGCTAGAAGAAAGTTAATGGATTTATTTTAAAAACATGATGGGACTCACAAATGTTGAAATCTGGCATGCTGTAAATTAAATCCTAACAAAGCCATCAGTCTGACACATAAATATTAAATATCTTTTTTTTTCCTGGGAAATCAGGCAAGATATTTAGATACAATAATTTTAACTTACTCCAAGACATCATGGTGACGTCACGGGAGACATTTAAATAATTTCCAAGGGGGTAAGGTTGGGAGGTGGGGGTGGGGGTTCCCTTCTAAAGTGCATGGCAAAAGCGCATGCTTGTTGGCGCCTCTCATGACGTGTGTTTACCGTGCGTCTGCAGTCTTCATCTTTGCTGAGCCTGGTTGCAGCAGTTTTCATCTTTGTTTGCCGTTCGTTCCAGTCATCAATTTTTGACAATTAGTATCATCTGTACGAGACAAGGAGACCAGCATTGCCTTTTTGCAACAGCATGGCATTCTGCACAGAACGATATTTTGCAGAAACAACCATCAGACAGATGGTGTATTATCGCTGTCGGCAAGACACACGACCGTTTGCTGGTGTCGAAAGTCCACCTGTCGTCTGGACATACCCGTATGGCAGATTGCGGACCTCTTTCCGGCGACTATACCGCCACCGCCGAGAGTATCCCCCGCGTCGCTATGTGCGGTGCTGAGCGACGCTTAACTAGATGGCTGGGACTCACGAGCAGCAGCTTCTGCATCTCCTGCAGCTTCCTCATTTTTTATTTGCTCGTGAGTCCCAGCCATCTAGTTTAGCTATGCACGGCATGGGAGATACTCTCGGCTGTGGCGGTATAGTCGCCGGAAAGAGGTCCGCAATTTACATGTGACTGAGGCCCTGGTAGGGCCCCCCAAAAAATGAAGTCACGTAGGGACTGAACAGAGCACCTTTAATTGATAAGGCAGATATGATATCAACTACGCTACACATTCACATGACCAATAAATATAAAAACATGACCAGTATTGTACACCTGGCAATTGCGCTTCAACAAGCAGCCGACTGCGCCTCAACAGACAGATATATGCCACACCAAAAACACTAGAAGAGAAACCACATCATCATCACACATGCAGCTTTTGAAATAGTGGACTGTCCAGTCGGTTGTGGAATTCCCACGCATTCCCCGTGTTTGGGGTACGTAAATAATATTGTACCAATATTTAAAAACAATTTGGTGATCTGATCTAAAACAAGTACCAGAAAATCTCATGGGAATTAAAACTGGTAGGCCTGAATGTAAAAAAGAATGCCAAACAGAGAGATGAATGGAGGCAGGTGACATCTGCAGCAATGAACCCAACAGGCTTAGAATGCTGAAAAAGAAGGAAGAGGAGGAGGAGAGGAAGGCTTGACTGTGTTTCTATCACCCCTCAAGTGCCAACTGGCCTACAGAAGAACAGATCTGGAACCATATACCTGAAATACCAATGGCCAAAAAAAGGTCTTAGAACTTTATTTTTCTATAGATTTTTAGAAGGATGTTAAGAAATGTGTCGACAGATAAGAATGAAAACACTTACCCACTGACAACCTGCAGATGTTTCTGGATCACACACAAAAGTCTAAAGGAAAGGACTCAAGAAATGTAAGGGGCGAATGAAGAGGAACAGGTATATGTTAATCAGATAATTACCCAGGTAGTTGTCACATGGGGCGAATGAAGAGTTATTTGTTGATCAGATAATTACCCAGGTAGTTGTCCCATGGAGCGAATGAAGAGGAACAGGTATATGTTGATCAGATAATTACCCAGGTAGTTGTCACATGGGGCGAATGAAGAGGAACAGTTATATGTTGATCAGATAATTACCCAGGTAGTTGTCACATGGGGTGAATGAAGAGGAACAGTTATATGTTGATCAGATAATTACCCAGGTAGTTGTCACATGGGGCGAATGAAGAGGAACAGTTATATGTTGATCAGATAATTACCCAGGTAGTTGTCACATGGGGCGAACGAAGAGGAACAGTTATACGTTGATCAGATAATTACCCAGATAGTTGTCACATGGGGCGAACGAAGAGGAACAGTTATATGTTGATCAGATAATTACCCAGGTAGTTGTCACATGGGGTGAACGAAGAGGAACAGTTATATGTTGATCAGATAATTACCCAGGTAGTTGTCACATGGGGCGAATGAAGAGAAACAGGTATATGTTTATCAGATAATTACCCAGGTAGTTGTCACATGGGGCGAATGAAGAGAAACAGGTATATGTTGATCAGATAATTACCCAGGTAGTTGTCACATGGGGCGAATGAAGAGAAACAGGTATATGTTGATCAGATAATTACCCAGGTAGTTGTCACATGGGGCGAATGAAGAGGAACAGGTATATGTTGATCAGATAATTACCCAGGTAGTTGTCACATGGGGTGAATGAAGAGGAACAGTTATATGTTGATCAGATACTTACCCAGGTAGTTGTCGTCATCCTTGACATGTCGAATCTGTCCGTACTGTCTGACATCGATCTCTGTCGCCCCGCTGGGGATCGTCACCACATAATTGTAGCCTGCCAGAAAAGTTTGTGAAAAATTATAACTTGTTATATGTTGTAGTTTATAGATTGCTTTAAATATTCTGCAAGAAAATTAGAACATTTTTCTTGCAAAGTTCCAGCTGCGTTGTAACTGAATTATGGTTGACCATGACAGCCAAGAACTATCAGCACAACACAGAATATAGCTAGAGCTGGTGGCAACATCATGAGAAACTCACCCTGGCTCCCGCTGGCAGAAATTGCTGGATGCCAGCAAATCAATTTTAGTTATTTAATCCCACATATGTGGTAAATGCTGGAAGAAATAGTTGATGTGGTAAATGCTGGAAGAAACAATTGATGTGGTAAATGCTGGAAGAAATAGTTGATGTGGTAAATGCTGGAAGAAACAATTGATGTGGTAAATGCTGGAAGAAATAGTTGATGTGGTAAATGCTGGAAGAAATAGTTGATGTGGTAAATGCTGGAAGAAATAGTTGATGTGGTAAATGCTGGAAGAAACAATTGATGTGGTAAATGCTGGAAGAAACAATTGATGTGGTAAATGCTGGAAGAAATAGTTGATGTGGTAAATGCTGGAAGAAACAATTGATGTGGTAAATGCTGGGAGAAATGGTGATGTAGTAAATGCTGGAAGAAATAGTTGATGTGGTAAATGCTGAAAGAAATAGTTGATGTGGTAAATGCTGGAAGAAACAATTGATGTGGTAAATGCTGGGAGAAATAGTTGATGTGGTAAATGCTGGAAGAAACAGTTGATGTGGTAAATGCTGGGAGAAATAGTTGATGTGGTAAATGCTGGAAGAAACAATTGATGTGGTAAATGCTGGAAGAAATAGTTGATGTGGTAAATGCTGGAAGAAACAATTGATGTGGTAAATGCTGGAAGAAATAGTTGATGTGGTAAATGCTGGAAGAAATAGTTGATGTGGTAAATGCTGGAAGAAATAGTTGATGTGGTAAATGCTGGAAGAAACAATTGATGTGGTAAATGCTGGAAGAAACAATTGATGTGGTAAATGCTGGAAGAAACAATTGATGTGGTAAATGCTGGAAGAAATGGTTGATGTGGTAAATGCTGGAAGAAACAATTGATGTGGTAAATGCTGGGAGAAATAGTTGATGTGGTAAATGCTGGAAGAAACAATTGATGTGGTAAATGCTGGAAGAAATAGTTGATGTGGTAAATGCTGGAAGAAACAATTGATGTGGTAAATGCTGGAAGAAATAGTTGATGTGGTAAATGCTGGAAGAAATAGTTGATGTGGTAAATGCTGGAAGAAATAGTTGATGTGGTAAATGCTGGAAGAAACAATTGATGTGGTAAATGCTGGAAGAAACAATTGATGTGGTAAATGCTGGAAGAAATAGTTGATGTGGTAAATGCTGGAAGAAACAATTGATGTGGTAAATGCTGGGAGAAATGGTGATGTAGTAAATGCTGGAAGAAATAGTTGATGTGGTAAATGCTGGAAGAAATAGTTGATGTGGTAAATGCTGGAAGAAACAATTGATGTGGTAAATGCTGGGAGAAATAGTTGATGTGGTAAATGCTGGAAGAAACAGTTGATGTGGTAAATGCTGGAAGAAACAGTTGATGTGGTAAATGCTATAAGAAATGGTTGATGTGGTAAATGCTGGAAGAAATGGTTGATGTGGTAAATGCTGGAAGAAACAATTGATGTGGTAAATGCTGGAAGAAATGGTTGATGTGGTAAATGCTGGAAGAAACAATTGATGTGGTAAATGCTGGAAGAAATAGTTGATGTGGTAAATGCTGGAAGAAACAATTGATGTGGTAAATGCTGGAAGAAATGGTTGATGTGGTAAATGCTGGAAGAAACAATTGATGTGGTAAATGCTGGAAGAAATGGTTGATGTGGTAAATGCTGGAAGAAACAATTGATGTGGTAAATGCTGGAAGAAATAGTTGATGTGGTAAATGCTGGAAGAAACAATTGATGTGGTAAATGCTGGAAGAAATGGTTGATGTGGTAAATGCTGGAAGAAACAATTGATGTGGTAAATGCTGGGAGAAATAGTTGATGTGGTAAATGCTGGAAGAAACAGTTGATGTGGTAAATGCTGGAAGAAACAGTTGATGTGGTAAATGCTGGGAGAAACAGTTGATGTGGTAAATGCTGGGAGAAATAGTTGATGTGGTAAATGCTGGAAGAAACAGTTGATGTGGTAAATGCTGGAAGAAATGGTTGATGTGGTAAATGCTGGAAGAAGCAATTGATGTGGTAAATGCTGGGAGAAATAGTTAATGTCAGATCAGATAATATCAGTCATACGTAACTTGTAGAACCTGCATGTCTTCATGTGGCATGCCAGTCACAGTCTTATTTCAGTCATTTGTTAGGTGTCTGTCGGTGGGTGTCTGTCGGTGGGTGTCTGTCGGTGGGTGTCTGTCGGTGGGTGGTTGTCCATGGGTGTCTGTCCGTGGATGTCTTTCCATGGGTGTCTTTCCATGGGTGTCTGTCCATGGGTGTCTGTCCATGGGTGTCTGTCTATGTTAGTCTAACACTTTCCTTCACTGGTGCAAAAATACCTTGAAGACTCAAGAGATAAGGTTCTACACAAGAATTCTTTAAATTCCTTGGATAGCAAATCCATAATCCTAAAACATTTCAGACCTGAAGAAAACTTATTATTATGAAGATTAGAAAAGAAAGAGAGAGAGAGAGAGAGAGAGAGAGAGAGAGAGAGAGAGAGAGAGAGAGAGAGAGAGAGAGAGAGAGAGAGAGAGAGAGAGAGAGAGAGAGAGAGAGAGAGAGAGAGAGAGAGAGAGAGAGAGAGAGAGAGAGAGAGAGAGAGAGAGAGAGAGAGAGAGAGAGAGAGAGAGATTCAGCATTAGTTTAGGGTTCCTTATGAGAAAAGAAAAACTGAAAAATTCTGTGATAACTGGAATGATGTATGGACCAAGAAGAAGTAAAGAAAGATAACAAGACGATATTCTTGGCAGCTTTTTGTCCTGGTGCAAAAGAGTGCCGGCACATAAACAGATACATGCACTGGAGATCACAAGATGAGAAGAGTGACTGCCCATACCTGTCAACTAGCTACTTGATAAAACCATTTAAAGGTGATATCAGTGTTTTGGCTTTCGGAAGTCCTGTCACTGGTGTCAGCCATTATCATTCATATATGACGATGATAAACAGAAAGAGAAAAATAAACAAGAAAGACATACCATAAATAGCATTGTTGAAGACTCCAGTGACAGTGCGACATGTGAAGTTGTCACCTCCACACACCCCACACCTGTCCCGTTTCATGGGAGAGCCCAGTTTGTTGTCGCAGCCCACAGCCTGGTGTTGGGAGTCGGAGAAAAAAACACAATCAGGTCTCAAAGATACATATGATAATTAGCAAACTGTAAAATATTCTAGAACTAATCTACTTCCATATCCTAGAACTACATGTGACAGAAAGAGGGATAAAACTAAAAATATACACAGCAAATATATACAAATATTGTGAGTTGTTATCCATTTCTCAGACATCAACAACAGCACACAGTAAATAATGGTTACGCTTGAAAAACACAACATTTAAACACAGTTTAGTCCTTTATCTTATTTAATCAAATGAATAAATTTTGTTGTTGTTGTTGTTGGTGTTGTTGTTGTTGTTGTTGTTGTTGTAATTATGTGGTACATATTTTCAATCATTTCATAACAGATGTTGACTTATGTTTATTTTGTTAGTACATGTAAACACTGGTGACAAACATTGTGCTCTAAGATGAGTTGCATGTGTCAGTCGACTTACAGAAACTTTGTAAGTCTGCATTTATTTATCTTTAACAGCAAAACAGAAAACATACCCAACATTGTCCATTGACACAAATATCATCGGTGAAGGGAGAGCACTTGGTTCCATCAATCACTTTCTTGGAGAACTCGTAGTAAGTGGAGCCATTGCCTGCACTGCAGTACAGCTTGCAAGCATCTTTCATGTGAACTGGGAACACAACATTATATCAAATCTTCTGGTGATCACAGTATTTTACGTCAGGAAAAGAATATATTCTTGTCTGTCAATGTTCTATATTTTACTTTAGCTGTGATAGAATCAGAAAATAAGTTTCTGGAAATTGTCTGACTAAAACAAAGAGCACACTTTCTTTCTCACATTTAATGAGAGCGATTTATTGCATTAGATATTTTAAATTTTCTGACATGCAGCTTTCACTTGACCTATTCTGCTTTTAATCTCTGTCATAGATTTTCCATCTGATGATATGATTGTTCCCTGATATTTGAATTTATTGACTTAGTTAAGTCATTTTCCTTAAATTGAGATATCACAGTGTGGAGTAATCTTCTTCTTTAACGTAACCATTACTTCTGTTTTCTTAATATTCAATTAAAGTCCTTTCTTATCACTCTCCATCCCCACAATATCCAGCAGATGTTGTATATCAGTTGCACTTTCAGCTATCAAAACTATTGTCTGCATAACGCAAATTGTTTATATTGTATCCTCCAACTCTTATTCCTGCGTTCTCTTTCATTTCACTCAGAATTATTCCACTATATAGAGAAGGAAGGTCTGGGGAGAAGACACGTCCTTGTCTTACACCTTGCCTTATCTGTTCAAAAGTACCCAATCTGTTTCCCACTTTAATTGTTGTTACTTGGTTCCAGTAAATGTTTTTAATTATTCTCAGATCTTTCCCATCTACATTGATGTCTTTCAATATTTTTATTTTCTCCTCATCTTTAACTTTGTCAAACGCTTAGGTATAATCTGTAAAGTACAAATATAAAAACATGGTTTGTAATTTCAAAATACCTTGTCTCACATTGCTGCAGGTGACGCTAAGACTACTTTATGCTACCTTTGATGACAATGGTAGTGAGTGTCAACCAATCAGATAACAACTGCAAACTAATTAACGTAAAATTGTTCACTATAACCACAAAGACAACAAATATTGGGGTGGTGGTGGGAGAAGGGGGTGGGGGAATTGGTTTTGATGTCATATAAAGGATATACAACTATTTGTTTGTTTAGAAACTGTAGGTCCATCTCTCTTTACATATAATTACTGGATATTATTTTGTCATGATGTGGTTATCTGCACGGTTTAAAAAAGAAAATATACAGATGTGTTTAGGTGAACTAATGAGTATGTATAAAAATTATCACTAGACATAACAGAGCAAAAAGTTCAGTAAGAATTATTTTCCTTTAGAACACTTGGAAATGTGTATCGCAGAGACCAGAACACTGATTTCTATGTGCTAAAAAAAATAGTTAGTTACTGTGCCAAACCTATGTCTAGTATCTGTAATAAATGTTACAACAAGCTCTAAAATGTTACAACACTTTAATACCTGACAATAAACTCTAACATATTGCAACAATTTAACATGTTACAATAGACTCTAACAACACTTCAACATGCGACAAAAAACTAACATGTAACAAGGGTCTGGAATGTCACATTCCTGTACGACAGAAATGACAAAAGTGAATGTTGAACTTCTAAGAATGCTAGATATATTGTGATGCATGTTAAAATACCTGGCAAAATTAAAGACTGAGATTGTGCTATTTCATTTCAAAATTATTCACTTTCTTTCTCCTCTGCTAGTTTTTGACACACTAAAAATACAAAACAATCAGCTATAAATAACTGAGTCTTTTCTTCCTTTGCAAGATGTCTGCATGACTGAACTCGGTGGGCTCTTTTTTGGTGTATTGTTTTCTGAAGCTGTTTAATTTTTCCTGTTTTTCTCCACATTACATAAAGTACCATTTAGTACACTTAGAGATACCGGCCGGGAGTTGCCATGGTGTAGTAGCTAAACATGTGCCTAGAGATATGAAGATCGTTGGTTTGGATCCTGATGGAGCCAGATTTGTATAAAAAATGTCCTTGGCTGCCCGGTTGACCCAGCCTTGAATGGGTACTAGGTGCAGTTGTGGGAAGTAAAGGCGGCCAGCATGATGCACACCCACCAAGTGCTGATTGGTCTATCAAATATAGGTCTAGCCCTTTATGGAAAAGGATCCTTTACTTTATTTCAGAGATACTCGGTAAAGGGTGATAACCCTGTAGCATCGATTGATCAACACTTAATGAATGTTGTGCTCGGCATCATGTTGACTTTCTTTAGATGGCAGAACATGGCTTTAAGGGAGGTTTGAACTTATCACTTTTGGGCAGGCAGACATTCTGCAGGTAAAATTTATATTAATCACTTTTATAACAGGTCAGAGTTCAGTCATGTAACAAGAGAGATGGATGATTCAGTCATGTAACAAGGGAGATGGATGATTCAGTCATTTAACAATTGAGGTGGATCATTCAGTCATTTAACAATTGAGGTGGATCATTCAGTTTGCCTCACCATAGCCTACCACTCAGAATGGAATAAATGATTCAGTCATAAAAAAAGGGAGATGGATGATTCAGTCATGTAACAAGGAAGATGGATGATTTAGTCATGTAACAAGTAAGATAGATGATTCAGTCATGAAACAAGGGAGATGGATGATTCAGTCATGTAACAAGGGAGATGGATGATTCAGTCATGTAACAAGGGAGATGGATGATTCAGTCACGTAACAAGGAAGATGGATGATTCAGTCATGTAACAAGGGAGATGGATGATTCAGTCATGTAACAAGGGAGATGGATGATTCAGTCTTGTAACAAGGAAGATGGATAATTCAGTCATGTAACAAGGGAGATGGATGATTCAGTCATGTATCAAGGAAGATGGATGATTCAGTTTGCCTCACCATAGCCTACCACTCAGAATGGAATAAATGATTCAGTCATGTAAAAATTGAGGTGAATCGTTTAGTTTCCCTCGCCATAGCCTAGCACTCAGGATGGACTAAATGATTCAGTCATGTCAAAATTGAGGTGAATCATTTAGTATCCCTCACCATAGCCTAGCACTCAGGATGGACTAAATGATTCAGTCATGTAAAAATTGAGGTGAATCATTTAGTATCCCTCACCATAGCCTAGCACTCAGGATGGACTAAATGAAGAAGAACGTGAACAAACAAACAAACACAACTGATAATGCCCATTGTCAAGCAGACGTTAAGATGACACAGAGGAGCAGAAGCCAGTCAGACACAAGGCACCCATGTCCATAATTACCAGAACAAGGCTCCACATATCATACCTCCAGTATATTTTGGCTTCCATGTTGTGTTTTGAGGAATATTGTGCAAATTGAAGCGGAATTTCTTTCTCATTTCTTCGCTTTGGCATTGAACTTCTCTGAAATCCTGGCTGTCTGGTGGGCATGCCTAACCAATAACCATGCAAGTCAAATAAATCATCTAATATTGAAACAGAACTTTGTAAACTCATGATTACATATTAACTTTAGTTATGTCGGTGACACATATTGTATTTGGATTATATCTTGAACTGTCGATTTGAATTCTTTGAGTCCCAGCTGGTTTGGCATTGAAGGCCCAAGGGGTTGTCAAAAGAGATGTAAAATCTGCACATCTTGCGTTCACTGGCTTCTAGGGTGGAACCCATGAACGTATGATGCGTTCTTTGGGACTCAAAGAGTTAATGGACAACTTTTCTTGTTTCTGTGACAAACCTTAAAACTAAACATTCTTTCTTACTTTAAATTAATCTGTTTTACAAAAAAAAAATTGAATTTTAAAAACTTAACTCTTTGAGTCCCAAGGAACCTATCATACGTTCATGGGTTTCCTATCCTAGAAGCCCAATGAATGCATGATGGCCGATTTTATAACCTCTTTACTATCCCCTGGGCCTGTGATGCTAAACCTCCTGGGTCTGAAAGAGTTAAAAGCCTCTTGTTCTATTCTGATTTTGTTTCAGAATACCTTAAATCTGTTTATTTTCCTTTTTTTCTTAATTCCATAGTTTTGCTGCATTCATTTAGTTTGTCTAAATGTATTTACATTAGCATGTACATACAACCATATTTCATATCAAGAAGCCCCTCCTTTGCTTTACTTTCTGCCTTACTGATTTCTTTTCTACCCTAAAGTTCAAGGAAAAAAAGAGGTCATTTTATTTTTCTAAATTTAAAAACTGCACACAGAAGACATGTCAGATGTGAGGTTATGACAAGAGACATGTAAAGTCTTGATAATCTGGCCAAATAGCAGTCTCACAGGTGGACAACTGGACAAGGCCCAGGCAGCTAAAGGATGGAAGGGAGGGGGGGGGGGTGGGGGGGGGGGGGGGGGTGGGTGGAGGGTAAAAGTAAAGGACTTTTTTCCACGCCCTCAGGTGTATTGGGCATATAGGGCAAGACCTATATTTTATAGACCACTCGGCACTTCGTGGGTGATGTGGTCAGCATCACTTTGGCCGCCTTTACTTCCCAGGATTGTACCTAGTACCCACTCAAGACTGGGTTGACCAGGAAGCCAAGGTCATTTTTGAGAAAAGTCAGGCTCAATCAGGACCCGAATCCATGACCTCCCAATTTGCAGGCAAGAGTCTAGCTACTACACCACAGCCACTCCCTTATCTGAGTGGGTGCTGACTCTCTTTCATGAAGACATTATTATGGCAGGCCAGTGTCCATGGAGACGTTATTATGGCAGGCCAGTGTCCATGGAGACATTATTATGGCAGGCCAGTGTCCATGGAGACATTATTATGGCAGGCCAGTGTCCATGGAGACATTATTATGGCAGGCCAGTGTCCATGGAGACATTATTATGGCAGGCCAGTGTCCATGGAGACGTTATTATGGCAGGCCAGTGTCCATGGAGACATTATTCTGGCAGGCCAGTGTCCATGGAGACATTATTATGGCAGGCCAGTGTCCATGGAGACATTATTATGGCAGGCCAGTGTCCATGGAGACATTATTATGGCAGGCCAGTGTCCATGGAGACGTTATTATGGCAGGCCAGTGTCCATGGAGACATTATTATGGCAGGCCAGTGTCCATGAAGACATTATTATGGCAGGCCAGTGTCCATGGAGACGTTATTATGGCAGGCCAGTGTCCATGGAGACATTATTATGGCAGGCCAGTGTCCATGGAGACATTATTATGGCAGGCCAGTGTCCATGGAGACATTATTATGGCAGGCCAGTGTCCATGGAGACATTATTATGGCAGGCCGGTGTGACTAAATAATTTCAAAACTGATGAGAGATTAACCAAGATGTTTTCTTTCTCAGCAAAACTGATGCTAGTGATTGAGATTCTCCCTCTCTGATTGGGTTTTCTTGATTGAGATTCACACTCTGTGATTGGGTTTTCTTGATTGAGATTCACACTCTGTGATTGTGTTTTCTTGATTGAGATTCACACTCTGTGATTGGGTTTTCTTGATTGAGATTCACACTCTGTGATTGTGTTTTCTTGATTAAGATTCACACTCTGTGATTGAGTTTTCTTGATTGAGATTCTCACTCTGTGACTGGGTTTTCTTGATTGAGATTCACACTCTGTGATTGGGTTTTCTTGAATGAGATTCACACTATGTGACTGGGTTTTCTTGATTGAGATTCACACTCTGTGATTGGGTTTTCTTGATTGAGATTCACACTCTGTGACTGGGTTTTCTTGATTGAGATTCTCACTCTGTGACTGGGTTTTCTTGATTGAGTCAATGACAAAGTGACAGTTGTTTGACTCAATCCAGTCATCAAGAGTGTCTCACAAGTTTTCTAGTGCTTTAATTGCTTAACTCTTAAAGTCTCAGTTGATTTTGAATTCAGCAATGTCTCTGCTAACGTTTCTGAAACCTAGAGCAACAAGTGTTTAGTCTCGCAGAACTGAAAAATACAGCTTTGGGAAAGAAGGTGTCATAGTAACAGCCCAAAAATAATGGGTTAACAAAACAGAAAAATGGGATAGGCAAAGTAAAGAAATGTGTAGCCCATAAAGTGTAACCAAAAAACGTATGGTGAGTTCCTTGGTAATGAAAGAGTTAAGGTCAAAATGAGCTCTTGAGTTAGGACAGAAAGGCTATATTTACAGTATGTGCATAAGGCTAGGCTGCCATTTTGGCAAACCCACTTGTCAATTAAGGCGACTGAAGTTTGAAAGTGACTTGTCGTACAGTTTTTAGATAAAGTAAGAGTGTTTATGGTGCTACAGACACATTACCTTGACATTACAGGACTTGTATCTGACCCTAGGACCCAAACAGTAGCGGCCGCCATTTTGTGGTCTGCAGAAACATAGAGTTTTATCTCCGTTAAACATTTGAAAAACAGAACAAAATAATATGTCTAGAAATTATGCCCCGCTTAGGGATAATGGCATAACAAAATGTAAGTTCATATTTTCTTCTTCTTCTGCATTTGCCCTGGTTAATTAAGTTGTGGTTTACAGCTAGGTTATGATGTGTGCATATTGTGACTCAATACATCCAATTTCAGCAATCCCTAATTAGTATATTTTTACAACATGCACCCTCCCACCCCATTCCCCAAAACCAAACCCCCACTCCCTCAAATGGACCCACACAGAAATGTCAATTTATATTATTTCAAAGGACTGGAATGGAACAAAGCCAGAAAGAAAACTGCTGATAGAGACGTCTGGCGATCTCTCTGGCAAACCTCTACACCCCAAGGTAGAAGAGGAGCGACTAAGTAAGTTCAAAGGTAAGTGAATGCTCATTAAGCAGTTTCAGCGTAAGCCGTAATAACAGAGACAAACATGGTGATACAAATATGGCCAGACAATCTATTGGCAAAACAATTAGTTCAAGAAACAGGCAGAAGCATAAAAAATAACTGCTAAGATACATCTTCTTCTTCTTCTTCACCTCCTCTTTTACCGCTGTGGGTGTCAAGGGAGATAAAGGGTTTTGTCTCTAGCTGCCAAGATACATTACTCATTCAAAATACAAAAACTGTGATCTGTTATGTCCCCTGCAAGTGACTGAGAAAGTCTGTGAGTATGTGTGTACTGGACAAAAGCCAAACAGATGCCTTAGTGTTACCGTAACCCAAATTCATAAATCTGCAAACATGTAGATGTTCATAAACACTGAGACTTTATGTGTCATTCAAAATTAAACATGATCTGACAATTAGTGTTCTTTGATCTATTTATCGTTGATGAATTTGTTGGGCGATCTTTACGCCCTTCTAAATTTATGTCACAGCTTGTTTTGAATCAGTTTATATCTTTTTTTAAAAAAATTCAATCTGCTCTTTTGTAATTCTCCAAATCAGGAAGTGGTCGATGATACAGTCATTGACAACAACAAACAGAAACAAGAGCACTTACTCTGGATTGTTGCATTCTCGATATCTTGTCTTGACCCCGCCTCCACACGTCCTAGAACAAGGGCCATAATACTTCCAAGGACCCCAGCCTCCATTTACTATTTTTGGCTTTTGTTCTGGTTTAGGCAGACAGTCACCTTGTATGCAGATCTGCAAACAAATATTTTCCCCAAAGCTTTGCAAATTATCTTCTGCTAAATTATATTAGCTGAACTTGTTCGCACACACAAACATCTGCACACACAAAGACATGTACATTTATTTTGATTGATTTAATTTTAGGGTCTTTAATTCAATGCTAATTATTTGCTAATGGCTTGAGCAATGATTGTTCTCTGTCTCCAGGTATCAGCTCTTGTGCTGGTATCTTGTCATCTCGTGAATGGCTTGAGCAATGATTGCTCTCTGTCTCCAAGTATCAGTTCTTGTGCTGGTATCTTGTCATCTCGTGAATGGCTTGAGCAATGATTGCTCTCTGTCTCTCAGTATCAGTTCTTGTGCTGGTATCTTGTCATGCCCTGAATGGCTTGGGCAATGATTGTTCTCTGTCTCTCAGTATCAGCTCTTGTGCTGGTATCTTGTCATGCCCTGAATGGCTTGGGCAATGATTGCTCTCTGTCTCTCAGTATCAGTTCTTGTGCTGGTATCTTGTCATGCCCTGAATGGCTTGAGCAATGATTGCTCTCTGTCTCTCAGTATCAGTTCTTGTGCTGGTATCTTGTCATGCCCTGAATGGCTTGGGCAATGATTGTTCTCTGTCTCTCAGTATCAGCTCTTGTGCTGGTATCTTGTCATGCCCTGAATGGCTTGGGCAATGATTGCTCTCTGTCTCTCAGTATCAGTTCTTGTGCTGGTATCTTGTCATGCCCTGAATGGCTTGAGCAATGATTGCTCTCTGTCTCTCAGTATCAGTTCTTGTGCTGGTATCTTGTCATGCCCTGAATGGCTTGAGCAATGATTGCTCTCTGTCTCTCAGTATCAGTTCTTGTGCTGGTATCTTGTCATGCCCTGAATGGCTTGGGCAATGATTGTTCTCTGTCTCTCAGTATCAGCTCTTGTGCTGGTATCTTGTCATGCCTTGAATGGCTTGGGCAATGATTGCTCTCTGTCTCCAGGTATCAGCTCTTGTGCTGGTATCTTGTCATGCCCTGAATGGCTTGGGCAATGATTGCTCTCTGTCTCCCAGTATCAGCTCTTGTGCTGGTATCTTGTCATGCCTTGAATGGCTTGAGCAATGATTGCTCTCTGTCTCTCAGTATCAGCTCTTGTGCTGGTATCTTGTCATGCCCTGAATGGCTTGGGCAATGATTGCTCTCTGTCTCCAGGTATCAGCTCTTGTGCTGGTATCTTGTCATGCCCTGAATGGCTTGGGCAATGATTGCTCTCTGTCTCTCAGTATCAGTTCTTGTGCTGGTATCTTGTCATGCCCTGAATGGCTTGAGCAATGATTGCTCTCTGTCTCTCAGTATCAGTTCTTGTGCTGGTATCTTGTCATGCCCTGAATGGCTTGAGCAATGATTGCTCTCTGTCTCTCAGCATCAGTTCTTGTGCTGGTATCTTGCCATGTCCTACATGGCTTGAGCAATGATTGCTCTCTGTCTCTCAGTATCAGTTCTTATGCTGGTATCTTGTCATGCCTTGAATGGCTTGGGCAATGATTGTTCTCTGTCTCCAGGTATCAGCTCTTGTGCTGGTATCTTGTCATGCCTTGAATGGCTTGGGCAATGATTGCTCTCTGTCTCTCAGTATCAGCTCTTGTGCTGGTATCTTGTCATGCCCTGAATGGCTTGGGCAATGATTGTTCTCTGTCTCCAGGTATCAGCTCTTGTGCTGGTATCTTGTCATCTCGTGAATGGCTTGGGCAATGATTGCTCTCTGTCTCCCAGTATCAGTTCTTGTGCTGGTATCTTGTCATGTCCTGAATGGCTTGGGCAATGATTGCTCTCTGTCTCTCAGTATCAGCTCTTGTGCTGGTATCTTGTCATGCCCTGAATGGCTTGAGCAATGATTGCTCTCTGTCTCTCAGCATCAGTTCTTGTGCTGGTATCTTGTCATGCCCTGAATGGCTTGAGCAATGATTGCTCTCTGTCTCCCAGTATCAGTTCTTGTGCTGGTATCTTGTCATGCCCTGAATGGCTTGAGCAATGATTGCTCTCTGTCTCCCAGTATCAGCTCTTGTGCTGGTATCTTGTCATGCCCTGAATGGCTTGAGCAATGATTGCTCTCTGTCTCCAAGTATCAGTTCTTATGCTGGTATAATGCAATGATAATGTATAGAGCACAAGAACTGATGAAGGTGGACACCAGACACTAAAGACACCCTGGCAATGATAATGAAAAAAGCAGAAGAACTGATGAAGGTGGACACCAGACACTAAAGACACCCTGGCAATGATAATGTTTAAAGCACAAGAACTGTTGAAGGCACCGAGAGTGGATGAGAGGCTCATCTTGTCTAGTGAACTGCCAGAGAAAGATTATTTCCATCATCATGATTCTATCTACTTGCCCTGTTGTAGCCACACTATCTACTTGCCCTGTTGTAGCCACACTATCTACTTGCCCTGTTGTAGCCACACTATCTACTTGCCCTGTTGTAGCCACACTATCTACTTGCCCTGTTGTAGCCACACTATCTACTTGCCCTGTTGTAGCCACACTATCTACTTGCCCTGTTGTAGCCACACTATCTACTTGCCCTGTCGTAGCCACACTATCTACCTCCCTGTTGTAGCCACACTATCTACTTGCCCTGTTGTAGCCACACTATCTACTTGCCCTGTTGTAGCCACACTATCTACTTGCCCTGTCGTAGCCACACTATCTACTTACCCTGTTGTAGCCACACTATCTACTTGCCCTGTTGTAGCCACACTATCTACTTACCCTGTTGTAGCCACACTATCTACTTACCCTGTTGTAGCCACACTATCTACTTACCCTGTTGTAGCCACACTATCTACTTACCCTGTTGTAGCCACAGGTGGTTCCATCTGCCCATGGCATATGTTTTGTTCGACAGCCCGTATTATTGTCGTTCTCATTTGCGCACCACAGTCTCCGACACTGAGGGTTATTCTGTGAACAAGCATTCACACACATCTGAAGTTTAATCTAGTTATCAACTTTTTTAAAAGTCCCAGGTAAACTTCGGAAAATAAGCACATGAATTGATGTGTACAAAATGCTTAATTTGTCAGCGAAGGAAACAAGGACTTTCAGAGACATAAATAAAAACCGAACAGCTGATGAGACGAGCAAGTCTACCAGCCATGTTTTGAGGGTGCCAGTGACTTGCCACGTACACACGGTTGAGTATTGGTAATAGCAGGGATCCTCACACTTGAGGAAACGAGGGCAGTGGACAGATCCAGGGGGGCAGTAGACTGATGTAGGAGATGATGAACAAATACAGGAAGATCACAATTAAATCCAAACTAGTATTCATGAACTCTCTCAGTCCCAAGAAAGGCATCATATGCTAATGGGTTCCCACCTAGAAGCCTAACTAATGCAAGATTTGCCAATTTTACATCTCTCTTTACAACCTCTTCGGCCTCCAATGCTACACATCCAGGACCTTGGGACTGAAAGAGTGAAACCTAAACTAAACCTGCCACAAATTTGCTGTCTCATCTGCTCTGTTTAATTAACTGGCAGTCATTCATAGTTAATTTTTTATCAACATCTCCCTTATATGATGGTTTTTCAATCTTTCAACTGCTGTCAGTTTCGCAGACACAAAATTCATTCGCTGACAGCCCACACTCCAGCATCACTTGTTGATGTTATCCATGTAGTCCTTGTATGAGACAAATCTCTATGCTTGGGATCCACTCCTGTCACGTGTGTCTAGTGATTACCTAATATTGACAGTTTGGGATCCACTCCTGTCATGTGTGTCCAGTGAAAACCTAATACTGATAGTTTGGGATCCACTCCTGTCATGTGTGTCCAGTGATAACCTAATACTGATAGTTTGGGATCCACTCCTGTCACGTGTGTCCAGTGATAACCTAATACTGACAGTTTGGGATCCACTCCTGTCACGTGTGTCCAGTGATAACCTAATACTGACAGTTTGGGATCCACTCCTGTCACATGTGTCTAGTGATTACCTAATACTGATAGTTTGGGATCCACTCCTGTCATGTGTGTATAGTGATAACCTAATACTGACAGTTTGGGATCCACTCCTGTCAGGTGTGTCCAGTTATTACCTAATACTGATAGTTTGGGATTCACTCCTACCATGTGTGTCCAGTGATAATCTAATACTGGTAGTTTGGCATCCACTCCTGTCAGATGCGTCCAGTGATTACCTAATACTAATAGTTTGGGATCCACTCCTGTCAGGTGTGTCCAGTGATAACCTAATACTGACAGTTTGGGATCCTGTCACATGTGTCTAGTGATTACCTAATACTGACAGTTTGGGATCCACTCCTGTCACATGTGTCTATTGATTACATAATACTGATAGTTTGGGATCCACTCCTGTCATGTGTGTCCAGTGAGTACCTAATACTGACAGTTTGGGATCCACTCCTGTCACGTGTGTCCAGTGATAACCTAATACTGATAGTTTGGGATCCACTCATGTCATGTGTGTCCAGTGATAACCTAGTACTGATAGTTTGGGATCCACTCCTGTCATGTGTGTCCAGTGAGTACCTAATACTGACAGTTTGGGATCCACTCCTGTCACGTGTGTCCAGTGATAACCTAATACTGATAGTTTGGGATCCACTCCTGTCTTATGTGTCTAGTGATAACCTAATTCTGACAGTTTGGGATCCACTCCTGTCACATGTGTCTAGTGATTACCTAATACTGACAGTTTGGGATCCACTCCTGTCACATGTGTCTAGTGATTACCTAATGCTGATAGTTTGGGATCCACTCCTGTCATGTGTGTCCAGTGAGTACCTAATACTGATAGTTTGGGATCCACTCCTGTCATGTGTGTCCAGTTATTACCTAATACTGATAGTTTGGGATCCACTCCTGTCAGGTGTGTCCAGTTATTACCTAATACTGATAGTTTGGGATCCACTCCTGTCATGTGTGTCCAGTGAGTACCTAATACTGATAGTTTGGGATCCACTCCTGTCATGTGTGTCCAGTTATTACCTAATACTGATAGTTTGGGATCCACTCCTGTCAGGTGTGTCCAGTGAGTACCTAATACTGATAGTTTGGGATCCTCTCCTGTCATGTGTGTCCAGTGATTACCTAATACTGATAGACAAACCATGTTGCAAACATGGAGGCACCAAGTCTATCGCATGTGACTGACAGAGGTGGAGGGAACTTATCAGACAGTCGACAGCTTCTAGTGACCCAGCCCATGACAGGCAATGTTTTGGGGCGATGATAATATGCAGGGTTGTTGAAACAGTACAGTGTTAGCTCACTTCATGACAAAGTCACTATGAGATTGAGTCTTTCCTCCTCTACACTAGAGTGTAGGGTTATCTTGCCGTCTGGATCAGCCATTTCTCTTATAGTCTTGAACACAGAGCTACCTGAATAGTTTATATTTACTGTCATCTCTTGAGTCTGGAATGTTGAGGTAACTCAAACCCTTTCCTCTTCTACCATGACTTTGTTAAGTTTATAGGAGTCCTAGAAATTCAATGTGTAGCAACACATCTATAGCACATAAAAACACATCAAGGAATGAAATAATGCATTTAGGATATTTGTACATGTGCTTCGTCTAGCCAATGTAGAGTCCACATGCTAGCAATAACAGTTGCAACTTGACTGAAAGTCTGCCTGTGTTACGCTCATTGTTGAAACATCAGGGGCAAACCTAAACCAGAAGACAAATCACATAGTCAAATGAGACATGCTAAGTAAAAAAAAAACTAATTACCGGGTATGGGCAGACAGAATAATCTGCCCCAAATACCAGCTGGCATTGTCTGTCAACAGAGTAGACTTCGCCAGGCTCCTCGACGTCCTTCATGCTGGTCAGCCATTGTTTGACCCGCAGACCATCCTGAAGACAGCTAGCTAAGCCTGATCTAGGGATGACAAGACAGTTTTTGTGTGAGCAAAACATCAACGCCAACATACTGAAGACAGCTAGCTAAGCCTGATCTAGGGATGACAAGACAGTTTTGTGTGAGCAAAACATCAACGGCAACATACTGAAGACAGCTAGCTAAGCCTGATCTAGGGATGACAAGACAGTTTTGTGTGAGCAAAACATCAACGGCAACATACTGAAGACAGCTAGCTAAGCCTGATCTAGGGATGACAAGACAGTTTTGTGTGAGCAAAACATCAACGGCAACATACTGAAGACAGCTAGCTAAGCCTGATCTAGGGATGACAAGACAGTTTTGTGTGAGCAAAACATCAACGGCAACATCCAGACTTAAGTCATATCACTGACAGGTTACTAATCACATCAGCAAGTGTCTGCCAGTGGCTTAGCCTTAGCAACTGGCTATAAGGGCATTTTTCTCGGGACATAAAGACATCTGAGATGTTAGTCATTCAAATATTGATAATGGGAGCCTAACTTTGTATACTTTTGTATATTTATACTCTTGTATGTTTATGTTTTTGTTTATGCAAACTATTGTATGTGTACACTCTTGTAAATGAACATTACTTCTATATGTATAATCTTGTATACACATAAACTTGTGTGTGCGTGCGTGCGTGCATGTGTGTGTGTGTGTGTGTGTGTGTATACTCTTGTATATGTATACTCTTGTATTTGTATACTCTTAAATATATATACTCTTGTATTTGTATACTTTTGTATATGTATACTCTTGTATATGTATACTCTTGTATATGTATACTCTTGTATATGTATACTCTTGTATATGCATTCTTGTATATGTATACTCTTGTATATGTATACTCTTGTATATGTATAATACTCTTGCATATGTATACTCTTGTATATGTATACTCTTGTATATGTATACTCTCGTATATGTATACTCTTAGAGCTGATAAAGGTCACAGAAGGTGTCTATTAGGAAAAATGAAACAAAGAACATAACACATGACAACTGACAAACGCTTACTCCAGAAACTCGGTCATAAGCCGAGCACTACAGTTGGACCAGTCCCAGGGACTGGAGTTGTAGTCCAGCGTTGGCGACATCACATGGAATGCATTTTTTTGATCTTCTGGTAGCAAGTCTGTACACTGCTTATCATCATCATGTGGCAAATTAAAGCTGTTATGTAGGAAGTAACAACAAATATAATGTATTAATTGTTGTCAGTCCTGTCCACTGTCTTGTTGCAACTATCTCACAATTAGTCAGATAGGATTACCCCTAGCATTGACCCTAACATCTATCTACTTACAAGAAACACTCCCTGCCACCTCACACGTGTCAGTCTTCTGTATAACCAAACCCCTTGTGCTCTAGTCACTGTGCTCTGTGTAAGAATCTTAATCAAGAATACAGCTACATTAAACTGTATTTGAGACTCTCTAACGCAGAAAACCTGGGTGGAAGGCGAGAGGAAGACCAGGAAAGATGAATAAAACCCTCATGCAAGCCACATGAGAAGTACAAGACAAATGCAGAAAATCCTGACATGGGCTACCATCTAGCAACAGTGTCAGGATAAAGGAAGAAGAAGATGTTGGATCATCTTGGTCACACTCTGCACAGGTGCTTGTGAATGTCCATGTGGTACTCTTAGTTCTGTCAGTGTCAACAGATTTGACGTCAGATGTTCAAGTGGATCAATTTTACAAAAGGGTTTAAGACTTTCAAAGATCAAAGCAATGTTTCCCTGTTGTGAGTTTGAACAAAGAAGACACAAACAATAGATTTCCCAGCAAAAGGTTGTGCAATCTACTGTTTCTGTCTTCTTTGTTCAAACTTTCTAATATGTAAACTGAATTGTTCTGATGCAAAATATGTGGTTAAGTTACTTTACTATGTTCTAATCAAAGATATAATACGCCAAGTGTGGCCTGTGAAACACATAAAATAATTAATCAAATATGCCTGTCAAATACATTCAATAGTTGATCAAACATGGTATATGGTCTGTCAAACATATATGATAGTTGGTCACACATGGTATATAACCCGTCAAACACATACAATAGTAGATCAAACATGGTGTATGATCTGTCAAACCAAACACAGATGACAGCTGATCAAACATGGTGTATGACCTGTCAAACCAAACACATACAATAGTTGATGAAACATGGTGTATTATCCTGGGCAGAAAGAGTTAACTTGGTTGTTCAAACACATTGTTAACTCTTTTCCAGTCTGATGTCCCAGTGCTAATCTAATAGTTTGTTCTATCACAAATAACAATGTTTAACAACTAAGATATACAACTTTCTGTCAAAGATTCATTTTAATATTCACACAACATTCACACACTTCATGTACTGATAGGTGAATGACAGTGAGACAGACTTCAAGTACTGGCAGGTGAATGACAGTGTAACAGACTTCATGTACTGGTAGGTGAATGACAGTGAGACAGACTTCATTTACTGGTATGTGAATGACAGTGAGACAGACTTCATTTACTGGTAGGTGAATGACAGTGAGACACACTTCATGTGCTGGTAGGTGAATGACAGTGAGACAGACTTCATGTACTGGTAGGTGAATGACAGTGAGACAGACTTCATGTACTGGTAGGTGAATGACAGTGAGACACACTTCCTGAACTGGTAGGCGAATGACAGTGAGACAGACTTCATGTACTGGTAGGTGAATGACAGTGAGACAGACTTCATTTACTGGTAGGTGAATGACAGTGAGACAGACTTCAGACACAAGATTTCAAACAAGAATATGGCTACTCACACATGTCCCAACTCATGGGCCACAGTAAATGCTGCACTGACTCCATTGTCTTCGATGATAGAACAACTTCGTCTGGTATCACAAATAGTTCCTAGCTCTGCCAGGCCTGGAAAATATACCCAAAGTCAGTCAGAAACTATACCCAATATCAGTCAGAAAATATACCCAAGTATAGTTATCAATTAGAAAATATACCCAAGTATTGTTATCAATCAGAAAATATATCCAAGTATAGTTATCAATCAGAAAATATATCCAAGTATTGTTATCAATCAGAAAACCCCAGTGCAGCTAATCGTGTGCTTTTATTTCAACCAATAAAGTGCGGCCAAATCTTGCCCAAAGTTCTAGCAGTGAAGTAGGGAAACAATATAAGATATTGTACATTAGCTCATAATTTAGGAAGTCTGGGGTGGTCTTGTGCCACAGGATGAAACAGGAGCTGTGAATGCCATCCTACCAGGATCATGTCTACAGAATACACACTGAGAGAAATAGGAGAGGGAACTAGAATCTGTGGTAGATCAAGAACAATATGGAGAGATAATCTCAGGGAAATTCTACAAGATCAAGTGTCTGTTGTTGAAGTGGCCAGAAGAATGAAAAACAGAACTGTATCTTCCTGAACACCCTAGGCGGTAAAATAAATGCCTGGCACAGCATTCTGTCTGTTCTGTATGCAAGGCTTTGAGCAGTTACAGCTTTGTTGCTTGTTTTCCTTTGCTAATTTCCAGCAAATCTTGATTTAGTCAGCCACCAGTTATGCAATGCTTGTTAAGGGTCTGCAGGTCTGTTCTCCTCCTCCCTCCTCCCCCAAATGGAGCCCTGGAACCCACACATGGAGATTCTGCGTTTAATTTCAATGGCATTTTCATGGACACAGATATCTCTTTCTCCTTCTCTCCTTCAGCTCCTGAAGTCCCTGCTTTTGACTCTTCTTCTTGGTTGTATGCAGACATGAGCAGACAGCAGCTAAAGGTTTCTTAGACTTTTATGAGGTTTCTTCTGCACCTTCTCTGTCTGTCATTTCCTGGCTGCTCTCACTGACTACATCAACTCTGTGCCTGTATACTACAACTTGTATCCAAGGTTTTCCAGAAGTTTTATCTTGTCCAAATATAAGCCAGACAGTAGACACAAACATCATATGCTTAGAGCCAGACAGTAGACACAAACATCATATGCTTAGAGCCAGACAGTAGACACAAACATCATGTGCTTAGAGCCAGACAGTAGACACAAACATCAAATGCTTAGAGCCAGACAGTAGACACAAACATCATATGCTTAGAGCCAGACAGTAGACACAAACATCATATGCTTAGAGCCAGACAGTAGACACAAACATCATATGCTTAGAGCCAGACAGTAGACACAAACATCATATGCTTAGAGCCAGACAGTAGACACAAACATCATATGCTTAGAGCCAGACAGTAGACACAAACATCATATGCTTAGAGCCAGACAGTAGACACAAACATCATATGCTTAGAGCCAGACAGTAGACACAAACATCAAATGCTTAGAGCCAGACAGTAGGCACAAACATCATATGCTTAGAGCCAGACAGTAGGCACAAACATCATATGCTTAGAGCCAGACAGTAGACACAAACATCATATGCTTAGAGCCAGACAGTAGGCACAAACATCTTATGCTTAGAGCCAGACAGTAGACACAAACATCATATGCTTAGAGCCAGACAGTAGACACAAACAATATATGCTTAGAGCTAGACAGTAGACACAAACATCATATGCTTAGAGCCAGACAGTAGACACAAACATCATATGCTTATAGCCAGACATTAGACACAAATATTATATGCTTAGAGCCAGACAGTAGGCACAAACATCATATGCTTAGAGCCAGACAGTAGGCACAAACATTATATGCTTAGAGCCAGACAGTAGACACAAACATCATATGCTTAGAGCCAGACAGTAGACACAAACATCATATGCTTAGAGCCAGACAGTAGACACAAACATCTTATGCTTAGAGCCAGACAGTAGGCACAAACATCTTATGCTTAGAGCCAGACAGTAGGCACAAACATTATATGCTTAGAGCCAGACAGTAGGCACAAACATCATATGCTTAGAGCCAGACAGTAGGCACAAACATCATATGCTTAGAGCCAGACAGTAGGCACAAACATTATATGCTTAGAGCCAGACAGTAGACACAAACATCATATGCTTAGAGCCAGACAGTAGACACAAACATCATATGCTTAGAGCCAGACAGTAGGCACAAACATCATATGCTTAGAGCCAGACAGTAGACACAAACATTATATGCTTAGAGCCAGACAGTAGGCACAAACATCATATGCTTAGAGCCAGACAGTAGACACAAACATCTTATGCTCAGAGCCAGACAGTAGACACAAACATCATATGCTTACAGCCATATGCTTAGAGCTGGCCCACTTACCCAGTGTGTCGCACTTGCCTGGAGCTCTGCATATATCTTCTCTGGAAGAAATAACAAAAACATCTGAGATAACATTGGATCATTTGCACCTGTGGATATCTGAGGAATTACGTCACATTCAGTCTGACACAAGACAGACACCAGACAAAGTGAAACTGAACACATTACTGCAAAGCTCTTATTTAAAAAAACAGAACTTGATATTTTATTTTTTTATGTTTAAATATTTTTGTTTATTAGGAAAAGAAATAAAAAGGAAAAATCATGATTATTTTTTTTTCTCTCTAAATAGCAGTAACTAATATGTGATGATAAATAAGCTCCCTTGTCACGGTCCTGTAATATGGGACTAGTTCTTCTGGTCAATGTTTCAGTGTAAACTAAAACAGGGGGAAAAGCTGGCAAACAGAGACAATATATGCAGAAAGTTATATAAAGCTTTGACAGGTAGAGTGACCAACAGTGGTTGTCTGGAAGTTGCAAGGGAAAGTAGACTGTTGTCCTATCAGAAAGTTATATAAAGCTTTGACAGGTAAAGTGACAAACAGTGGTTGTCTGGAAGTTGCAAGGGAAAGTAGAATGTTGTCCTATCAGAAAGTCAGAAGCCTGTTTTGTTGATTATGTGGTGGATGGAAAGATCAGTGACAGAAGAGGCAGAGGCAGACCAAGAGAGATAATACTTGATAGTCTGTCAACGACAATGAATACCATCAACACAACGATCCAGACTAGCCAGCAGTGAGATCTGACACACCAGTGACAATATTTTATGGTTTTACAACATTTAACAGGGGAAAGCATCCATGTAATCGGCTTACGCCTAGAAGCTTTATATAAGTTGTTTCCCCTGCTTCCTTTCATGTGTTTCTGAAAGTTTGATCCAACCTTAATCGGACGCCATGTCAAGAGGCTAAATCGCAGATACCATATCCAGTGACGTAGAAATGAGGTAATTCGGCTGTTATTGGCTGTTTATTGTCTGTATCCCGTTGAAAAGATTTTCACTGAGATCAAAAGGCAGATCGGTCACTTAACGTAAATAAATACATTATCATAATGATTATGTGATGCGATATTTTTTTACAGCTAAATCAGTTTTAAGTATGCAGTTATTAATTCGAAACGTCTATCCTCAAAATGGGGGTTAACCACCCACTACTTTTTAACTTTTCGTCCTTTTCAGGATAAAATTTTTCGTTGTTTGAAGCCTACTCTGGTTCTTGCCAGCGGCCGCAATATAGCCTGGCCCTAAATATAGCCTAAATGCTGAACCGGCTTCTGGGGCCTTTCCACGGTGATCCTCACCCACATAGTGGCATTTTGTGTCATCAGGTGTTTATCGCTTGTGTGATGTCCTGGTGGGGTAGAAAGTCAGTCAGTCAGTCGTTACTTTTAATATAATCCTCCCAATCTAGCTTTCAATTTTTCGTTATTTAAAAGCCACACACCCCGCTTTTTTTCAGGAGCCCTAAATATAACCGAAAGGTTGAAAGGGTTTTCTGGGACGCGCCGGGCGCTTCTCATCCGAATGGTGGCACTGTGTCACTGAGTGTTATCGCTCCTCGAGCTGTCCTGGCAGGGTTAAACATCACCTGTCGCAAAAACTGCATACTTTCAAGGACCTATGGTATAGCTTTTGTGAATGAGTTGGAGTCAAATATATATTTCCTGTTCTAAACAAAGTTGTCTTGTTGGAAATGTAAATAATGCGGACACAAACACTGCACAACTTATTGCCTGGCATATGTCGCCGTTTCTTGTGAGGTGAATTACTAGAGAGAACAATCAACACGTTATGCAGCACCAAACACAACACCACATTGCCACTGTCAGGTTTGGCTGGACACCTGTGTCCAGTTGAAAGTCAAGATCAGCCAGGTGATTGCCATGGTAACTTCAAATTTATCACGTGATCTCTTTTTGTTTGCATACAACGGAAGAGTTCAGTTCTACTGACAAGGCCTCAGAGAGTTTTAGTAAACGTGTATTCAATGTATGAAAAATAATTATAAAGGCACAATCCTTATCAACTAGGTGCCCAGAGTCAGGCAAACGACGTCTTATTGGGAAACTGGGTTCTCTCGTCTTGATACTGATACAGTATCAGCACTTATTTATGAGAGGGACCATTAAGGGATTGCGCCAGTAACTGTGCTAAATGGCTATACGGTTGAACGGGGTTTCCAACATTTGTATCTGTGTGATTCTCATCTTTGAGATGTTAATGCGACATACTGCAATCTGGAAAAATGGTTGGGAGTGGGGGTGGGGTGAACTTTAAAAATTAAACAGTTGTTGTATTAAACAATTTTGTTGAATGCAGGACCCCATTACTCGAGAAAGCAGCAAAGTGTGAAATACAACTTCCACATGACTCACTGACAGAGTTATCTAACATACATTTACATATATTACCCCAAACTACTGAATCTGACAGTGTTTTCTTTGTGTGAAATTCTCCCTACTTTAGTTTACTCTCATTATTTTGGTTGCTCAAGTAATTAAATGTACATAATTATGTTTCTACATTAAAATGTATCGACATGACAAAAGAGTAACAGCCTTTGACAAGTCATGAATGAAATCAGTAACGCAATACTAATATTATATTTCAAAAATATTTATTAACTGTGGAGATTAATCGAACAGAAAGGAAAACATTGCTTTTGTTTACGAGATCACTTGGCAGTCATCTCCTGATTCACACTTAAATGTATTTTTGACTGGACTTTGCGACCGTGTTAGTGTTCAGCCCATTTGTTGCTTCGTTTGGGAGTTGGAGTCGGGGGAAAAACCGAACAAGGTTTTTATCAAATAAGAACCTTCTGAAGTGGTCGAGCTGTTTGACTCACGGTCTGAGGTTCGTTGATTCGTTTCCAGAATGCAACCTCTCACAAAAGTTTTCACTTACCCGTCAGGTTTTTCCATCGGAGTTTATAGCCGGTGAACGTAAACAACAAACAAAAACTATACCTGTCTTCCCACACCTGCCTTTCCCTGTCTTTCCACACCTGCATTTCCCTCTCTTCCCACACCTGCCTTTCCCTGTCTTCCCACACCTGCCTTTCCCTGTCTTCCCACACCTGTCTTTCCCACACCTGCCTTTCCCTGTCTTCCCACACCTGCCTTTCCCTATCTTTCCACACCTGCCTTTCCCTGTCTTCCCACACCTGCCTTTCCCTGTCTTCCTACGCCTGCCTTTCCCTGTCTTCCTACGCCTGCCTTTCCCTGTCTTCCCACACCTGCCTTTCCCTGTCTTCCCACAACTGCCTTTCCCTGTCTTCCCACACCTGCCTTTCCCTGTCTTCCCACACCTGCCTTTCCCTATCTTTCCACACCTGCCTTTCCCTGTCTTCCCACACCTGCCTTTCCCTGTCTTCCTACGCCTGCCTTTCCCTGTCTTCCTACGCCTGCCTTTCCCTGTCTTCCCACACCTGCCTTTCCACACCTGCCTTTCCCTGTCTTCCCACACCTGCCTTTCCACACCTGCCTTTCCCTGTCTTCCTACGCCTGCCTTTCCCTGTCTTCCCACACCTGCCTTTCCCTGTCTTCCCACACCTAACTTCCCACCGGACCTTACACATTAATATGTGAGAATTGAGCTATTCCAATGCGCGTTCTGTCTCTGCCTCCTTCTTTTAAGATGCCAGTTGTTGTTTTTTTTTTTTTTCATTTATATTTTGGAAACATCTGGTAAATAGTTTTACTTGTCTGGATTCCCTCTCCAGTACTGTCCCTGAAGGTTTCACACCCAATGGCTGTTTTGTTTTTCTATGTAAATCCAAACGAATCCCAACTACGACCCTACGGATCTCAAAACATACGCCCGTGAACCGAACGGCGTAGTATTTCTGGGAAGGTACCCGACGACACGAACTGACCATTTCCTGGCCGAGACTTCCCCATACAGTCTGATGCCAATGAACTTCTTTTATCCGTGCATTGTTTTGAAACGTTCTCTGTCCTCACTTATTTTGGTTCGTATATGTGATTTGATTTTCCCAGACTTATGGCATGTAATCCAGCCTCGTTCCGTCGTTCTTTCCCACACTTTCGGACAAGACGGATCCAGAAAGGTTAATGCCATAAGGGACACAATTTACGGCCGCGGATTAGTACGTTTAAGGTAATTAGCATCGTTCCTTTTCATGTGGGATTTGTCTCCCTTGTCTACCTGCCCGTTTAACGGCAAGGACATGTCACAACATCGGCGATGTCCCCCCTGTGCTATCAAAGTAAATGAGGCCTACATCTTTCAAGACATCGTTAACCACAGATGGCTACAGGTGAGACAGACAGACAGACAGGCCGTAAACACTCAACAAATTAAGTCAGTACCACAGCAGATAATAGGCTCAGGGTGTCGGCTGTTAGCCTGTTTACCTCGCTGTCCATTTTCCCAGACAAATCTCACGCAGCTATTTTGTGAAGATGGGTCCAACCGTGAACCGTACTTTGGAAAGCTCTAGTTATACAACTGGCGAATATCAACTACAACATAACGAAGGCTTTAGGTAGACAACATAAATATGGTGAGGGGAAAAAAAACTAGAAAGATGGGCTTTAAAAAAAGGGACGTATTTAACTTTTTACTTTTCATATTTTAATGTATTCTTTTCAGAATGATCTATTTACCGTTCAATTTTAATCTTTTAATATTTAGTTTACCAGTTGCTTGGTTTGTGTTTCGATTTGCAATATATCGTTGTGTTTCCATTTTTTTTTCTTGCATTTGTATTTTTGGGGGGTGCAATTTAGGATTGTTTTTTTGTCTTGTTTTGTTTTGTTGTCCTGCTAATACAGGCTTCGATGGAAAAGGTCGGTTAATCATAGTTATCTGTCTCCTCCCTCCTTTCTCTCTCTCTCTCTCTCCCTCTTTCTCTCTCTCCCCTCTTTCTCTCCCCCCACTCTCTCTCTCTCCCACTCTCTCTCTCTCTGAACTCCCTTATCGTATATGCTAATATGTTTCATTTGTCGTCAGTCTGAACAAAGCCTTGTACAGAGTGATACGAAGAGAACTTAAAGCAGGAATTGTTCAATTCCTGTTCCACGGAGACTCAGCATTGACACGGCACTAGATACTGTTGATGCTGTTTCACTGTGTACCTAAATGGCAGAAATACCTCGCAGCGGGAATTCCCACACACGTGAACGAAGATTTGCATAATGTGGCACAGATACAGTGGGATCTGGGTGATTCAAATGCAAAACAGGATCACCGCCAGACACGGAGACATCCAGTTGTGTTATCGAGACAGAGACATAATGACATGTCATTACAGATGACATGGCCGTCGCTGAGCAAGCTTTCAGGCGGAATGACAAGTATGCCAACTATGTCACAGAACGAAGTAGATAACATACTTCTATTTATTTTAATTATTTCACGAGTTTTAATTGAGTGACTTGATATCTTCATTTCCTTATAAACTATGTCGTCTGCGGTTGCTAGTGATGTCTGTATATAAGTCTTTTTCTGATTCACTGATATCATCATCAGGTGCCTTGCTGACTTGCGAGGGCGATCATGCCTCTCCATAATCTGCCATCTCCTGCAGCATGTATCAGTTCGTATGCCGACACAACTCCATGACATTCAACAAGACTGTCAAGCATCTTCTCTCGTTGACTTCCTCTATCTCTCCTTCCGCAGATCTTTCCAGTGTTCACAAGATGTTCTTTTTTCCCCTCTTCTCATAACATGGCCGAAAAATGATGACTGTCTCCTTCTTATGTCTATGATAAGTTGTCTTCGGGCTCCCGCCTCTTTCAAAACCTCTTGGTTGCTCTTTTTGGCTGTCCAAGGTATTCTAAGCATTCTTCTGTAAAACCACATCTCTGAGGCCTTTAGAAATTGTTTGGCCTGCCTACCGATTGTCCAGGATTCACAGTCATATGTTGAAACTGGATGTATGTAGCAAGCAAGAATTCGTTTTCTAACTCTCAATATTCATTGATATAGAATAAGCAATTATTGTGTACGCTTTTATTAATAACGCTATTATTTCTTTATATAACTTGTTATTTAAAAACAAAATTAAAAACTACGTCCCAAACCAAGCGCCGGCTAGTGTATTGGGCGCCTAGACATCTATCTAAGATGGTCATAAAAACAGTTCGTGTTAAATCCCACACCTGAGCATTTCCAAATGTTGGCTCCCATTTGTGGGTTCATTTTGATTTGAGAAAAACTACTTGAACGTCTGAAGCATTCCCAAAGAGGAGAGTATAAAACACCTGGAAGCTCCACCACCTGGCTGAAGCATTTCTTCTGTAGCATCAAGATCAGACAACCATGGACAACAGGACATTCACGCAACTGCGGGAATAATGATGTCCACAGACTAGCATATGATTCATCCTTCAAGTCACAGACAGTGGTAACATCATGATTTGTGATACCTCTAACGTTACCATCATAATCTGTCACACAACACACACCCCCTCCCATTTCCCCTTACAGCTGCAAACATCATGATTTGTGATACCTCTAACTTTACCATCATGATCTGTCACACAACCCCCCCCCCCCCCCCTTTTTTTCCATGTGTAACATCATGATGTGTGATTCACTTAGCGCCCCCCCCCCCCCCCGCTCCAGCTGAAACATCATGATGTGTGATATCTCCAACACTACCATCATGATCTGGCACACAACACCCCTTCCCCTTCCAGTTGCAACATCATGATATGTGATATCTCTAATATTACCATCATGATCTGTCACACAACACCCCTCCCCTCCAGCTGCCACATCATGATGTGTGATATCTCTAACATTACCATCATGATCTGTCACACAACACCCCCCCCCCTTCCCCTTTCAGCTGCAACATCATGATGTATGATATCTCTAACACTACCATCATGATCTGTTACACGACACCCCCCCCCCCCCAACTCCCTTTCCAGCTGCAACATCATGATGTGTGATATCTCTAACATTACCATCATGATATGTCACACAACACCCCCCCCCCTTTTTTTTTTCCCCTTCCAGCTGCAACATCATGATGTGTGATATCTCTAACACTACCATCATGATCTGTCACACAACACCCCCCCCCCTTTTTTTTCCCCCTTCCAGCTGCAACATCATGATGTGTGATATCTCTAACATTACCATCATAATCTATCACACAACACCACTCCCCTCCAGCTGCAACATCATGATGTGTGATACTTTAACACTACCATCATGTTCTGTCACACAACAACCCCCCCCCCCCCACCTCCAGCTGCAACATCATGATGTGCGATGTACCTACCTGGTAATGAGGATGGCCGTGTCGTGATGCTTGGCACTGTTGGGAGTGAAGTCGTTGAATCGATGCTGCCATAGACAGAACTCCTTGAGCGTGGATGCTGCGTTTGGGGATACCGTAAAGGGTTGCTCCTGCCGACCAACACAGAATACAGACACATCAGAGACTCAGTCTTTTCGCATGTGTTATCTATCTTCATCAACGCTCTATCATCGATTTCTAAAAAATTGTTTCCTACTTTTTCTCCTACTCCTCCTGCCTCTCCTCCTTCTCACTCTGTCTGCCTCCCACAGTTCATAATCCACAACTCCATCAAAGTCTTCCTCCCACTGCCACTGGGAAACGAAATGTACAATTGCATACGCATGTATACATAAACACGGGCTAATAGGCAGACATACAGTCAGATATACAGACAAGAAGACAGACATACATAAAAAAAGGCAGGCCGGCCTGACCACAAGCAGTCTTTTAGGTAGGGGGAAAGATATAAAACCGAACAAAAAAGTAGATCAGCTAGCTTCACAATATAACAAATACAAACAAAACGTGAACTATAGAGCCTTTATCAGCACATACTCGAATACACAAAATCACGTAACTGACGTATGCAGATGCAGCCACGTTGATGTCTTGCCAGTGAAATAAAGAGACAGGCTAGGTTTGAGAATAAATAGCCGCCTAAGTCCAAGTACCGTAATTCGAGAATTGTAGAGAGCCAGTGTTGAGAGTTTAGTCCCCTGAGTTTTAAATAAAGGTGAAAATAAAGAGATTTTCAAGATACTTGCGGACTCTGTCGCTGGAATGGATATATTTAATGGCTGTCACCTCCATGTCATGGACACCTTGGTGACCCTGGAAACTGAAGTGTGATGATACTGGTCTGAAGGCACAGTTCTGCACATACAAAAGGTGTTGTCTGAACCTGTCGGCCAGTCGTAGACCTGTTTCACCGATGTATTTCATGCCACATCTCTTGCAGTTGATGGCGTACATGTCATAGCGGCTCGTGCAGCAGAATGCTTCACGTATGTGGAATGTGGCATTCTGGAATTCCAGACTTGTCCTCTGAACCACATATGAACGTCCTGCATACAGGTCTGCAGCAAGAGACCATATTGAAGTAGGGCTCAGATCAGGACATCACCGACTCGACAAGAATGTCCTTGAGATTACGGTCATGTCTGGAGGCCAATAGACGAAGTTCGGAGGAAATCGTGCCGGTAGCAGGGTCAGCCCTAGAGACGGAGAGATGCTTAAGGAGAATATTTTTTTGCATGGATGTTGTAAGGGTAGTAGGTAAGTATGAGGATAGGTCTGCTGTGGTGACGTTACTGTTTGGAAAAGAGGGCCTCAGCACGATATTAAGACCGTGATTGGTGAAAGATACGATATATTCAGGATACACTCGAAGCCGGAAGAAGTACATAATTTCAGATAGGGGGACAGACGGACAGGGGGACAGACGGACAGGGGGACAGACGGACAGGGGGACAGACGGACAGAGTGACAGACATGCACGAACGATGGAAGCAACTTACAAATGAACTTTATTTTCAGTCACAAACTGAGCAGGCAGGCCCTTCTTACATTCGGCAGTTACAAGTACTCGGGCGGGCGGACACGCTGACAAACTACAGTTCAGACACATAGACAAATATAAATGCAGTCACGTGGGTGGCCGGGTATAGATGGAGACCTATAGGCGAATAGATTAGCTGACAGATAATCATACAAACGTACAGAAGACACTTTGACTTACCCATGATGTTTCATAAATGATAAGCCTAACAACGACCACGTTGATAAAATTACGTATAGATGATTCCCGGTAAATGTTCCGTACCTGAAACAAACAAACGAACCAACAATATAACCTACACATCACATCAATATGACACATAAATCTCTATATATTGTCAACTTACTGGTAGCTGAACATCTTTTAAAAACAGTCAAAAGAAGCAATACAAATCTACATGCAACAAGATCTACTGGCATGGTGGTCGTCACTCAGATCAAACTCATGTCAGAGCAGCAGACTGGACCGGTAACTCAGATCAAACTCATGTCAGAGCAGCAGATTGGACCGGTAACTCAGATCAAACTCATGTCAGAGCAGCAGACTGGACCGGTAACTCAGATCAAACTCATGTCAGACCAGCAGATTGGACCGGTAACTCAGATCAAACTCATGTCAGAGCAGCAGACTGGACCGGTAACTCAGATCAAACTTATGTCAGAGCAGCAGATTGGACCGGTAACTCAGATCAAACTCATGTCAGAGCAGCAGATTGGACTGGTAACTCAGATCAAACTTATGTCAGAGCATCTTTTTTCAGTGCTACAGCTGTCAAGAGAATGATCAACAACCAAATTAACCAGTCACTCTTACAACCAACCAAGTTATCAACAAATAACCAACCAAACCACATAGCCAACATTCCCTTGAACCAACCGATCCAGTCTCGTGTCACTAAACCAATCATTTAACGAAACCAAACAACTAACCAGCGTTCAACCACACTTTATTCCAACCACCCAAAACACAACTAACCTTACAATCAACCAACCAACCAACCAGTTATTGAACCAGCCAGCCAGCCAACTAATGCAACCATCTTTTGTTTCCTTATCTTCACAGACCTTGCAATTCATACGAAACCTGACCTTATTGGCGTGTGCCAGTTTGTAGTTTTTCTCCTGTACTGTTTTTTTTTTTATTTCGGCCCGCTTTCTGTGACCTTTGACCCAGACAACACATGCGACCAAATATCAAATAGAACTGGGTTGCCACATGGCTTGTCAATGAGCCAAAACAGAACAGGATTTGATTGTATCATTGCGTCATCACAGGTCACAACCCGGGCACGCGTCCACTAAGATGGCGGGCAACTGAAACGCTTCTAAAATAAATCATAGTTGAGAATGAATTTTGAATCAGTTACAGCCCGTGTACGTCCCGGGGTTCCATTGTAGGGGAAAACAAGAAAACTCTCACAGCTTACCCATCAAGCATGTCGTAAGAGTCGACTAATTATAGATTTTCTTTGAATTCAGAGTGCATCTGCCTAAAAGGCTAGGAACTAACAGTCCGCATATAAAAAAGCCAGATCTGTAAAACGGATGTGCACGTAAAACTCAGCTACGGCAAGTGGACGAACAACCAGAACTTTCTGCCAGCGTTTAAGCCGGTGAACGCGAAGAAGAAGAAGAAGTTGAACCAGTCGGTACTATGCCTAAGAAAAAATGTTGAATCGGCAGCATCTGTTGGGCCATCTGCGATCCGTCTGCAGTTGTCGAAGAACGTGTAAATGTGGGTGCACACCAGTCCATGTCTCAACAAAAAAAGTGGCAACCTCATTTGCCAGTGCAGCAATGTCGCGAGAGTGGACCTTTTTGTAAAAATATAAAGGTCTTTATCATGAATGAAATAAATCTTCACGAAACAGACTCAGTCTTTGAACAACGTTTGAGAATACGCTGATTTCACAGACTATTAAATAATCAAATGGTTTGGTCAGTAGGTCAGAAAACACATTCAGCAACAGCTAGATCGTACTACATAAGAATAGCAGGCTACCAAGCAAGAGGTTGACCCAGGAAGATATGGATGGAGGGGGTAAAAGAGACTCGACAGAAATGCAGTATAACATCAACACAAGCATCGGAACTAGCGAAAGACAGGAAACTACATCTGATGCTTCTGTGCGACAATATGTGGCATATACGGTAGGACGAAAAAAGAAGAGGAGGATTCACCAACATCTAAACGCACATGTTTGCCACAAACGTTTCGGTCTTATCTTTCATGTAGAGCAGGCCGAGGGAGGGATCGTTCCGCACAGGCATCACGTCGACACGAAAATACTGCTCAGGTTTTGTGGTATGGACAAGAACAACTGAATCCCTGGCCTTCACTGGGTAGCCGAGGCCTGTGATAGCCCTGCCTTCAGTGGGTGGCCGAGGCCTGTGATAGCCCTGCCTTCAGTGGGTGGCCGAGGCCTGTGATAGCCCTGCCTTCAGTGGGTGGCCGAGGCCTGTGATAGCCCTGCCTTCAGTGGGTGGCCGAGGCCTGTGATAGCCCTGCCTTCAGTGGGTGGCCGAGGCCTGTGATAGCCCTGCCTTCAGTGGGTGGCCGAGGCCTGTGATAGCCCTGCCTTCACTGGGTGGCCGAAGCCTGTGATAGCCCTGCCTTCAGTGGGTGGCCGAGGCCTGTGATAGCCCTGCCTTCAGTGGGTGGCCGAGGCCTGTGATAGCCCTGCCTTCACTGGGTGGCCGAGGCCTGTGATAGCCCTGCCTTCAGTGGGTGGCCGAGGCCTGTGATAGCCCTGCCTTCAGTGGGTGGCCGAGGCCTGTGATAGCCCTGCCTCCACTGGGTGGCCGAGGCCTGTGATAGCCCTGCCTCCACTGGGTGGCCGAGGCCTGTGATAGCCCTGCCTCCACTGGGTGGCCGAGGCCTGTGATAGCCCTGCCTTCAGTGGGTGGCCGAGGCCTGTGATAGCCCTGCCTTCAGTGGGTGGCCGAGGCCTGTGATAGCCCTGCCTTCAGTGGGTGGCCGAGGCCTGTGATAGCCCTGCCTCCACTGGGTGGCCGAGGCCTGTGA